TCCCGGTGGAAGTGGCAAAATCATGGCCTTGTTCTACCGGGGTAGATTCACTCGCCAGCCTTCTGGTTGTCATTCATGGTATGGTCCGTATTGACCTCCACTTCTAACAGTTCTCTTCGCTCTTCCGAGGTCTTTTGACTTCTCGTTTCAACCATTCTGCCTGAAACCGTCCCCCTTTTGTCAGACCGGGATCGCTTGATCCAATCCACAAAAGGATCGGTCATCGTTTTTCTTTGCTTCTCAGGTATGAATTTCCTAGAGCTATTACCTCGTTTTGGTATCCTTGACTTGTCTAAACTCATTCTTTATTTGTCACTTTCCTATGCCCACTCTTGACTCAATTGCTAGAGACCTTATAGTTTTATTAACAATAATAATGACACAACACAATAAATTTCACCAGATTCTACTAAATAGTGACCACGAATCCCTGTATGTTGTAAGAGTACAGTTTGTATAAAATTTATTCACACTGACCGATTATCGGTCCAGAGATCTGGAAACTAGCACAATATGATGTTATCAGTCAATTTTAAAAGATAGTGTACTCACTACCCAATCAAGCACAGTTTAGGTTGATTTAAAATAAAAAAAAAAACAAAAAAAATATATATTGACACAATATGAATGTATATATAAAAAAACGTATGTGTCTTGTACTCTTAGTCGGTCGCAGTACAATAGTCGAACCTGTCTTTTAAAGAAAAAGCTTTCCCTGCTTGGTGCTGCACCAAACAGACAAAACTTTGAAGGCAGTAATTTTCTCAAGTGGGCGTCTATTGCACCCACCGAGTACTGTGTTACCTATCTGCCTTCGGACTGCCCGAGCTAGACCTACTAAAATCCTCAGGGCAGTCACTTTTCCCAAAAACGTATTATGTTTCAATCCACACCAATGAGTCACGCTCTTTTTAATTTAGACTTAGTGTCGCGAATATCCGAGTTCGGACCTGTTTTGTATTAGTCTGGTTCTTTTTGAGAGGCAAGTTACCAGTGCAGTCACTGATACCTAGCCTGTGTATTAATAACCTAATACCTCTCGCTTTTTAGTCTTTCTTTCGTTTACCTAAGTCCTTAATAAAATAATACCCCTCCGGATTGGCACAAATAGGACCCTTCCGGACTGTCAGAATATGGACCCCTCCGGATTTGGACCCCTCCGAATTAGCAACTATAAGACCCTTCCGGATTCGGACCCCTCCGGTTTTGTGGAAAGTAGACCCCTCCGGATTCGGACCCCTCTGACTTTGAAAAATTTCGACCCCTCCGGATTGGGAGCCCTTAGCTCTGTCAAAGTAGCTTTCCGTAGTTTTCTTAATTTCAGCTTATACCCCTCCGGATAAGTTCTGCGTTGCTTTTATGCTGTTTGAATTAACTGGGAAGGGTATAGGGTCCTTTCCTAGACCCCTCCGGATTGAAGTTAAGGCACTTATTTGACAATTCACACTAACGGTGAAGGGTCTTATCACTTGCCTAATTTCGACTCTATTATGGTTGTCTTGTGCCTTCAGCCCTCCCTTTTTGTCTAGAACTGTCTTAAGTTACTTAGTTCAATCGCTATCAACTTTTGGTAGGGGTATAAGGGTTTTTTAGAAAAATTCATAAAACGTGAAGGGTGTACCCCTCCGGATTTGTGTAATTTGCTAAAAACAATCTCAAAAAATTTTCTCGCTCGCTTTTTCGAGTAATTCTCTTTCCTACTAGTAAGTTCTGCTAATTTTTGATCTATTGGTACCAAGATCAACTCGATATGATCAGTAGTTCCAAAGTTATTAACCAAAACGTCTTTTTTTTCGAACTCAAAAAATTTTCTCTCTTATAGATTCCGCCTAACTTTTTCCGCAAATCTGGTCCTTTCGACCTAAAAATTATTGATCCCAGCTCAAAAGGCCTATACTCTTCTAGTTCAATGCAAAAGACCCGATCTAAAACGCTATTGTAGAAAAAATTTGCGAAAAACTATGCTACCTGGACCCCTCCGGATTGATGAATCCACCAAATCCAACACGTTATGTTCGATTTCTCTGCAACCCGGAAGGCTTTCGGGTAGCGGATTTTAAGACTTGTAGATTCACTAGTGGAGGTTGTCCGAACAACTATTTTTACTGTCCTACCTCAAAAATTTCAAAAAATTTTCTAAATTTTTAGTGTTTCTTACTATCAAAAATTGGGAAAATTTGGTTTTTGGTACCAAACTAGTTCCAACCACTTCCGAACTAAAGTTAACCGGTTCTACCTATTACAGTAGTGCAGTTACGATGTAACACACTAACTTAGCGCTTTTTTCCGTTTCAAAAAATATCGATATCTCAAAAATCGCGACTTGTGGGGGAATCAAAATATCGCTATTTTGACCCTAAAAACCGGTCTGTTTTCGTTGTTTTTCACTGAAAAACGATATAAGACTATTAATATAGGCTATATAAGTAATAATATTAGTAATACTATACCCCTCCGGGTTTGTTTATTATCCGAATTAAGGTGCTTAACTCGGATATTCGCAGTTCGGTGAAGGGTCACTACAGTGCAGCACTGTCGAGCCCCCCACAGATTACTATCTTACTTTTTGTACCAAAAGGGATCCAAAACTTGTTAACGATACCCAACAGTCGATTGTTGTTGTCGTTGAGCCCCTTCTTGTTGCTCCTTGAACTGCTTGCCGGATCGGTCTTCACCCAAGACCCTTCCGAATTGAGCGCAAATCAGCTGACCCTTCCCGATTGAGCGCAATTTATCATTAACGTGCTTAAATGCTCAAATAACCCTACAGTACAAGCCTCACAAACGGGCCTCAAAATTGATCGTAACGATCCTGACTGATATAAATGCCTGTAACAACAATATATCTATCAACAACAAACGGGGGGGTTGAATCACATCTTGTCTGGGGGGATGATTTCTACTGATTTTCTACTTTTTTACTGTTTTTGGTTTTTTCGGTAATTTTTTATGTTTTTTGTTTTTCTTGGGTACTATACTACTTTTTGTTTGGTTTTACTTATATCTTTAAATGTTTTTGGTCACAAACCACTCAGGGGACGAGGGGTTCGCGATTCCCCCCACCCTTCCTGGTTAATGAATTTTCGGTCTTAACTAGGTTAAAAAACTATTCACGGCAATCCGGAAGGCTTCCGCGTTCCGAACTACCCTTCCGCCCCGGCAGTTTAGGACTATTAAGGGCGTTAATGTGAGCATCCGCTCGGCGCGGAGTGCTCGTTAACGGTTCCGCCGGTCATGATGTTACGAAAGAATAACACCCAGGAGCGCCATAAAAACATACATGTAACATTCGCCCGGAAGATACATATCGACGGATAACAAAACTAAGTCTTAAGACGACTGGCTAGCGTCTAAACAGAGCTTTGCATGTTTTTCACCGTCTCTACCAAGCCAGTACTTTTCGGTGGTCTTTCTTACATCGGGTCGACAAAAACGTTACTGCTCTCCGGCTTCGACCAGAACGCTCAAATTAACTGAATTACATGCAAAAATAGTGAGCTCATGGCTGGGTCTCTGTATCCCCAGACCACGAGGTCACTCCTAAAAACAGGGCTACTACTTATCATATTACTATTGTTTTTGTTCAGTAGATAAAAATCATCATCTCCATCGAAGATGGATCAACCCTTTCCCCCAACTCCTAGCACCTCATCCTTGTCAAAACTAATCAAAATATCAGTTAAATTCAAGTCAGGACATGACAGGATGCTAAAAGTTTATGTGAATTAATAAAAGTTTCCGTCCCGAGACCCTTCCGGATTCTTGAATCCGCCGAATCAAGCTCCTTACTCTTGATTTCTTGCTAATCCGGAAGGCTGGTTCTCACCCTTCACCGTTGTTGGCAACGGCCTTGCAACTATTGTAGCAGCACAATAGTTGCAACTCGGAACGTTCTCTGCTATTCTGTAGTTCGTTGTCGTTCTCCAATCTCGATTTTCGTACTGTTCGCAATCGCAGATAAAAGTTGTTCTGTTTTTCACTCGCTTTTTGTTAAAAATGGCCGTTTCAGCATTTCTCAGAAATGTGACGTCATCATTCGAATTTTTGAAAATCTAAAATACTAGAATATTCTAGCCCTCACCGTTTGGCTAAACGTTCCAATAACGTCGCTAATCCTTCGAAATCATCAACTCGGAAGGCTTCCTGCTCAAAATTCGAATCCTGCATAAATTGCATTTTGGCCATTCCGGTCGAATGTCACAGAAGGTTCACTCTAGTTCATTTCGAATAATTGTACTCTTCTCTCGCGATTATCTCGTCTCCTATTTCAGGATAAGACGGCTCTACTCGTGTCTTATTTTGTATCTGGAAATTGCGAATAGCAATTTCCTGTTGTTTTCTTAAGTATTTTCCCGCAATTGTAAATTCGGTCGTTCTGATTTTTCACTTTTTGTTTTCAGTTGTTGCGAGAAAACTGAGCATGAGAGGCTCCATTCGAAATTTTGAAAAATAAAACTTCACTCGAAAATAACGTATTTTCGTGTCCCTCAAGGTCAAACTTCCAGATATGACCGACTGGCACAACAATCGTTACTTTCTGGAATGCTCTCGGATCTTCACGCGTCTTTATAATTTTTATCTGGTCAGCTCAGCGTTCTGTGTGTTCTTCTCTGACTATCAAAGATCGTTTTTCTGAATTTCGCGGTTTTTAGTTGTCGCGAAATTTCAAGGTTGTGACGCGTCTTTATTTACGAACGAATTTTTGAAAATCTTTTCGTCGCTCCAAATTAACCTCTACGAATTCGTTCAATTGTACGATTCGCACCACTGATCTTCCAAAATAGCCAATTCTCCCACAAGACTGCTCCAGTCGTTTCTGACATGCATTTCCGGCCATTCTGGACGAATGTCACAATGGCCCTATCCAACCTGTGCACGGACCGTCGCATGACGGAAAGGCACATTTTAATTGACCCCTTTTTTGCTTGTGCATGGTTTCTGCTGACCTTACACATCAACTGACTCTGATATGTTCTCAAAATTTTGTTCTCAATATTTTCAGATGTCTGAACGGAGTAAACGAAGTCAGTCGCCAGGTATGTTATATGAAAAGTTCCCTTTAAATTCTTGCGAACAAAATGATCTGAAAAAAAAGATAATTGAATGTTTAAGGGTTCGCTGGTTGGTAATGTCTTTTCTCGAAATATATCTATGGACCATTTTTGTTATCATTCTTCTAATTCATAATTCTGTTGGCATGATCAATGAAAAGAATTCCATTTCCTATAGAAGGGAAAATCGTGGCATAATTGTTTTCTAGATCATACCAATACTGAAGGGATAACTCAACCAAAAAAATATTCAGTTATTGTACTGAATGATATCTTTCGTTTCCGACACAAAATTGGGAAAAATTTTTTGGCATTAAAGTGACCTTCAAAAAATAGTCATTTGTTTTCTCAATTCTCTCAGTGATATAAAATTACTACATGATAAGCAGGGGTGGTTAAAAATATATTGTATTGCAATAATTTGCAATATATTGCAATATTATTATTGCAGTACCATATTTTTAGATAGTAAACTATTGAGATACATATTTTTGACAGAAAAACTATTGCATTAACTTTTGCTAGCGTTCAATATGTTGTCCAAAACTTTCACAGACAAAACAAACAAATGTCACTGGATTTCGGTTCAACCTCGCTTGTGAAAAGTATCTGTCCTCACATGAAACGATTATAAGCTAAGTTCCAATATTGTGGAACGGCTTTTTAGTCGAGCAAATTTGACTATTACTGATTTGAGAAAGTCAATGACTGCATTGCATCTAGAGGAGCTACTCTTCCTTTATGTTGATGCAACATTCTGAAACGTTGAAAGAATTCAAAGTTTGCTCTGAACCTGTTTTTTTACCAAGAAAAAAAATTGGAAAGTATTGCGAAAATATTGCAATAATTGCGATACTTATTTTGATTCAAAAAATGTTGCAATAACTTTTGCGAGTCCAAAACGATTTGCAATACATGTTGAGTCGCAAAATAGTACTTCAATTGTATTTTACCCAGCCCTGATGATAAGATTAGGCAAAATCAAATGGTAATGTAAGATATTTTAATATATTTCCAAATATAGTATTTTTTTCTCAATTTTTTCGGTTTTTTTAAACTATTTGCATGGTAACTTTTTGTAGCACATTCAATTCTAGAAATGAACACGTACTGAAGTTATAATAACTTTGACTCCTGGTTAATTCAGCCAATTTTAAAATGTCTTGAATGGGATTCAGCAGCATCTACGGCTACGGGCTCAGCATCGAACGACCTGAAGCTGACGGTATATTACCATTTTTTTTTGGGTCTTTCACAATATAACCCCCCCCCAACAAAGAAACACTAATTCGCTGCGGGAGCTTAATGGGATTTTGGCCCCATCATTCAACCTCAAAGGGAACTGTACTGAGAAATGGCAAAATATTGCACCGTCATTTTAATAACTTTTCAGCTCTATTTCGTGGCAACTTGTTTGTAGCAACTTTATCTTGCAAATAGTAATATGCAACACAATGTGTTGCACGCCGCGTACTCAGACCACCAATTGCCAGGAAGTAATTGGATTCAGGCATCTCACGTATCCTCATACCGTATAAAAAACCTGAATTTTCTCCGTTTCTGTGAAAAAGCGTTGTAAAAACTTAAATTTTCGGACTATATTTCATTGTTTTGGAGTTGGCGTCCACCAAATGTCATATAAGGTCGTCTTTCAAAGCAGAATTTTTTAACCTCGTTGTTGGGACTTCAATCATTCGAGAAATCAGCTTTATTGAGAAATTCCCTTTATTGTTTTCACAAATACTGAAGTATTTTTGTGTTACAAGTTTTGGAACATTTGCCACTTGTCTAGCACCCGAGTCCCTTCATTTAACTTTAGTCGTGTTTTATCAAGAGATCATCGATCATGAACTGTTCATGGACAAGTCGTTGTCAAACCAACTGTCACCAGCATCATCCACGAGCTCCTTTCATGAGTACAGTCATCTTTGGAATGATAACACAATGGATGACCTGGATCTATCCGATATGTCTTCACCAGAAAATTCTTCGGATATAAGGTAACAGGAACTTTTTTTGATTATGATACTTATGGAAAAGGGGAAAAAATGAGAAAAAAAACGTGAACGACTTTAGGTTCAAACGTGGATTTAATTTTTAAGATATCCCAGCATTTTTCTGTTGTTCTTTTCCTTCCAACTGTTTGTAGACTACTTTTTAAAAAAGTTCCCCGTGGAGAATAGGGGCTTTTTTGCGTTTTGTGAGAGGTCAGCAAAGCAATTTTGACGAACGAATTTTTTTATGGAAAATTTTCTCGAGAATTCATGTGTCCACCCTGAACAGAGCTGTATCATTTGGTCTTGTAATGTAATTTCATGAACTATATTTACCTTGAGGCTTATTTTTTCTCACAGGAGTGCGTTTGCTAAAATTATCTCAGAAATTCAGCAAGGTAATGTAATGGCTTGAGTGGCTTTTTTCGGTTCAGTTTGGTGTGTTGAAATAGTTTAGTCAATTTATTTCATTCACAGGTCTTTTAATTTTTTTCGGTTCAATATTTAATTGAATTGGCACCTTATATAAGTACTAATTTATTGACCCTTGGATTGTTAGTCTCAAATATCTGACTTCATTTTCGAAATTATTTATCTTTTAAATTGCTAAAACTTTGTAAAAACTGTTATCTGCAGATCGAATCATCAGTCGCAGCCCTGTTTTGGCACGGAAGCTGGGCAACAAAACTAGAAAGCAACCGCCGACTTCATTGGGAAGTACAAAATCAAAACCCGAACATCAGAATTTGACACTAAGTCCCCTAGCTCCATCCGCGATTTAAAATGGCAAGGAAGGTGAATCATCAGCGAAACCGAGGAAAGTCAGCCCAGCTCGCCCATTGGGCTCAAGTTTTTACGTCACGAATGACCTTCGTGTTAGAACTGGAACACGTTCAGAAACGTATGCAAATGGAGCATCTGAAAGCTGGTGTATGCCAGGAAGCCGTGAGTGAAGTATTTTAAAATTATTTCTAAAAAATTAATTAGAAAAAAGGGTGCTTATTAGTGTAATGAACACACTGAAGACTCTTATATATGATTTTTTCGTTTTTTTTCAGGAAAAGTCTTTTTTTTGTTCACGCTCATTTTTTGATGTTTCGCGGTTTAATTTTTCATTTATTTTCAAGTTCATTTCATTTCCTTCGTTAAAAGGAAGGCAAATTTCACTATCGAACAGCAAAAGTGTCAAGCTCACGAAAAGTGTCGCAGTACAATAGTCGAACCTGTCTTTTAAAGAAAAAGCTTTCCCTGCTTGGTGCTGCACCAAACAGACAAAACTTTGAAGGCAGTAATTTTCTCAAGTGGGCGTCTATTGCACCCACCGAGTACTGTGTTACCTATCTGCCTTCGGACTGCCCGAGCTAGACCTACTAAAATCCTCAGGGCAGTCACTTTTCCCAAAAACGTATTATGTTTCAATCCACACCAATGAGTCACGCTCTTTTTAATTTAGACTTAGTGTCGCGAATATCCGAGTTCGGACCTGTTTTGTATTAGTCTGGTTCTTTTTGAGAGGCAAGTTACCAGTGCAGTCACTGATACCTAGCCTGTGTATTAATAACCTAATACCTCTCGCTTTTTAGTCTTTCTTTCGTTTACCTAAGTCCTTAATAAAATAATACCCCTCCGGATTGGCACAAATAGGACCCTTCCGGACTGTCAGAATATGGACCCCTCCGGATTTGGACCCCTCCGAATTAGCAACTATAAGACCCTTCCGGATTCGGACCCCTCCGGTTTTGTGGAAAGTAGACCCCTCCGGATTCGGACCCCTCTGACTTTGAAAAATTTCGACCCCTCCGGATTGGGAGCCCTTAGCTCTGTCAAAGTAGCTTTCCGTAGTTTTCTTAATTTCAGCTTATACCCCTCCGGATACGTTCTGCGTTGCTTTTATGCTGTTTGAATTAACTGGGAAGGGTATAGGGTCCTTTCCTAGACCCCTCCGGATTGAAGTTAAGGCACTTATTTGACAATTCACACTAACGGTGAAGGGTCTTATCACTTGCCTAATTTCGACTCTATTATGGTTGTCTTGTGCCTTCAGCCCTCCCTTTTTGTCTAGAACTGTCTTAAGTTACTTAGTTCAATCGCTATCAACTTTTGGTAGGGGTATAAGGGTTTTTTAGAAAAATTCATAAAACGTGAAGGGTGTACCCCTCCGGATTTGTGTAATTTGCTAAAAACAATCTCAAAAAATTTTCTCGCTCGCTTTTTCGAGTAATTCTCTTTCCTACTAGTAAGTTCTGCTAATTTTTGATCTATTGGTACCAAGATCAACTCGATATGATCAGTAGTTCCAAAGTTATTAACCAAAACGTCTTTTTTTTCCCTAACCCTAACTTTTTCCGCAAATCTGGTCCTTTCGACCTAAAAATTATTGATCCGAGCTCAGAAGGCCTATACTCTTCTATTTCAATGCAAAAGACCCGATCTAAAACGCTATTGTAGAAAAAATTTGCGAAAAACTATGCTACCTGGACCCCTCCGGATTGATGAATCCACCAAATCCAACACGTTATGTTCGATTTCTCTGCAACCCGGAAGGCTTTCGGGTAGCGGATTTTAAGACTTGTAGATTCACTAGTGGAGGTTGTCCGAACAACTATTTTTACTGTCCTACCTCAAAAATTTCAAAAAATTTTCTAAATTTTTAGTGTTTCTTACTATCAAAAATTGGGAAAATTTGGTTTTTGGTACCAAACTAGTTCCAACCACTTCCGAACTAAAGTTAACCGGTTCTACCTATTACAGTAGTGCAGTTACGATGTAACACACTAACTTAGCGCTTTTTTCCGTTTCAAAAAATATCGATATCTCAAAAATCGCGACTTGTGGGGGAATCAAAATATCGCTATTTTGACCCTAAAAACCGGTCTGTTTTCGTTGTTTTTCACTGAAAAACGATATAAGACTATTAATATAGGCTATATAAGTAATAATATTAGTAATACTATACCCCTCCGGGTTTGTTTATTATCCGAATTAAGGTGCTTAACTCGGATATTCGCAGTTCGGTGAAGGGTCACTACAGTGCAGCACTGTCGAGCCCCCCACAGATTACTATCTTACTTTTTGTACCAAAAGGGATCCAAAACTTGTTAACGATACCCAACAGTCGATTGTTGTTGTCGTTGAGCCCCTTCTTGTTGCTCCTTGAACTGCTTGCCGGATCGGTCTTCACCCAAGACCCTTCCGAATTGAGCGCAAATCAGCTGACCCTTCCCGATTGAGCGCAATTTATCATTAACGTGCTTAAATGCTCAAATAACCCTACAGTACAAGCCTCACAAACGGGCCTCAAAATTGATCGTAACGATCCTGACTGATATAAATGCCTGTAACAACAATATATCTATCAACAACAAACGGGGGGGTTGAATCACATCTTGTCTGGGGGGATGATTTCTACTGATTTTCTACTTTTTTACTGTTTTTGGTTTTTTCGGTAATTTTTTATGTTTTTTGTTTTTCTTGGGTACTATACTACTTTTTGTTTGGTTTTACTTATATCTTTAAATGTTTTTGGTCACAAACCACTCAGGGGACGAGGGGTTCGCGATTCCCCCCACCCTTCCTGGTTAATGAATTTTCGGTCTTAACTAGGTTAAAACACTATTCACGGCAATCCGGAAGGCTTCCGCGTTCCGAACTACCCTTCCGCCCCGGCAGTTTAGGCCTATTAAGGGCGTTAATGTGAGCATCCGCTCGGCGCGGAGTGCTCGTTAACGGTTCCGCCGGTCATGATGTTACGAAAGAATAACACCCAGGAGCGCCATAAAAACATACATGTAACATTCGCCCGGAAGATACATATCGACGGATAACAAAACTAAGTCTTAAGACGACTGGCTAGCGTCTAAACAGAGCTTTGCATGTTTTTCACCGTCTCTACCAAGCCAGTACTTTTCGGTGGTCTTTCTTACATCGGGTCGACAAAAACGTTACTGCTCTCCGGCTTCGACCAGAACGCTCAAATTAACTGAATTACATGCAAAAATAGTGAGCTCATGGCTAGGTCTCTGTATCCCCAGACCACGAGGTCACTCCTAAAAACAGGGCTACTACTTATCATATTACCATTGTTTTTGTTCAGTAGATAAAAATCATCATCTCCATCGAAGATGGATCAACCCTTTCCCCCAACTCCTAGCACCTCATCCTTGTCAAAACTAATCAAAATATCAGTTAAATTCAAGTCAGGACATGACAGGATGCTAAAAGTTTATGTGAGTTAATAAAAGTTTCCGTCCCGAGACCCTTCCGGATTCTTGAATCCGCCGAATCAAGCTCCTTACTCTTGATTTCTTGCTAATCCGGAAGGCTGGTTCTCACCCTTCACCGTTGTTGGCAACGGCCTTGCAACTATTGTAGCAGCACAATAGTTGCAACTCGGAACGTTCTCTGCTATTCTGTAGTTCGTTGTCGTTCTCCAATCTCGATTTTCGTACTGTTCGCAATCGCAGATAAAAGTTGTTCTGTTTTTCACTCGCTTTTTGTTAAAAATGGCCGTTTCAGCATTTCTCAGAAATGTGACGTCATCATTCGAATTTTTGAAAATCTAAAATACTAGAATATTCTAGCCCTCACCGTTTGGCTAAACGTTCCAATAACGTCGCTAATCCTTCGAAATCATCAACTCGGAAGGCTTCCTGCTCGAAATTCGAATCCTGCATAAATTGCATTTTGGCCATTCCGGTCGAATGTCACAGAAGGTTCACTCTAGTTCATTTCGAATAATTGTACTCTTCTCTCGCGATTATCTCGTCTCCTATTTCAGGATAAGACGGCTCTACTCGTGTCTTATTTTGTATCTGGAAATTGCGAATAGCAATTTCCTGTTGTTTTCTTAAGTATTTTCCCGCAATTGTAAATTCGGTCGTTCTGATTTTTCACTTTTTGTTTTCAGTTGTTGCGAGAAAACTGAGCATGAGAGGCTCCATTCGAAATTTTGAAAAATAAAACTTCACTCGAAAATAACGTATTTTCGTGTCCCTCAAGGTCAAACTTCCAGATATGACCGACTGGCACAACAATCGTTACTTTCTGGAATGCTCTCGGATCTTCACGCGTCTTTCTAATTTTTATCTGGTCAGCTCAGCGTTCTGTGTGTTCTTCTCTGACTATCAAAGATCGTTCTTCTGAATTTCGCGGTTTTTTAGTTGTCGCGAAATTTCAAGGTTGTGACGCGTCTTTATTTACGAACGAATTTTTGAAAATCTTTTCGTCGCTCCAAATTAACCTCTACGAATTCGTTCAATTGTACGATTCGCACCACTGATCTTCCAAAATAGCCAATTCTCCCGCAAGACTGCTCCAGTCGTTTCTGACATGCATTTCCGGCCATTCTGGACGAATGTCACAATGGCCCTATCCAACCTGTGCACGGACCGTCGCATGACGGAAAGGCACATTTTAATTGACCCCTTTTTTGCTTGTGCATGGTTTCTGCTGACCTTACACATCAACTGACTCTGATATGTTCTCAAAATTTTGTTCTCAATATTTTCAGATGTCTGAACGGAGTAAACGAAGTCAGTCGCCAGGTATGTTATATGAAAAGTTCCCTATAAATTCTTGCGAACAAAATGATCTGAAAAAAAAGATAATTGAATGTTTAAGGGTTCGCTGGTTGGTAATGTCTTTTCTCGAAATATATCTATGGACCATTTTTGTTATCATTCTTCTAATTCATAATTCTGTTGGCATGATCAATGAAAAGAATTCCATTTCCTATAGAAGGGAAAATCGTGGCATAATTGTTTTCTAGATCATACCAATACTGAAGGGATAACTCAACCAAAAAAATATTCAGTTATTGTACTGAATGATATCTTTCGTTTCCGACACAAAATTGGGAAAAATTTTTTGGCATTAAAGTGACCTTCAAAAAATAGTCATTTGTTTTCTCAATTCTCTCAGTGATATAAAATTACTACATGATAAGCAGGGGTGGTTAAAAATATATTGTATTGCAATAATTTGCAATATATTGCAATATTATTATTGCAGTACCATATTTTTAGATAGTAAACTATTGAGATACATATTTTTGACAGAAAAACTATTGCATTAACTTTTGCTAGCGTTCAATATGTTGTCCAAAACTTTCACAGACAAAACAAACAAATGTCACTGGATTTCGGTTCAACCTCGCTTGTGAAAAGTATCTGTCCTCACATGAAACGATTATAAGCTAAGTTCCAATATTGTGGAACGGCTTTTTAGTCGAGCAAATTTGACTATTACTGATTTGAGAAAGTCAATGACTGCATTGCATCTAGAGGAGCTACTCTTCCTTTATGTTGATGCAACATTCTGAAACGTTGAAAGAATTCAAAGTTTCCTCTGAACCTGTTTTTTTACCAAGAAAAAAAATTGGAAAGTATTGCGAAAATATTGCAATAATTGCGATACTTATTTTGATTCAAAAAATGTTGCAATAACTTTTGCGAGTCCAAAAAGATTTGCAATACATGTGGAGTCGCAAAATAGTACTTCAATTGTATTTTACCCAGCCCTGATGATAAGATTAGGCAAAATCAAATGGTAATGTAAGATATTTTAATATATTTCCAAATATAGTATTTTTTTCTCAATTTTTTCGGTTTTTTTAAACTATTTGCATGGTAACTTTTTGTAGCACATTCAATTCTAGAAATGAACACGTACTGAAGTTATAATAACTTTGACTCCTGGTTAATTCAGCCAATTTTAAAATGTCTTGAATGGGATTCAGCAGCATCTACGGCTACGGGCTCAGCATCGAACGACCTGAAGCTGACGGTATATTACCATTTTTTTTGGGTCTTTCACAATATAACCCCCCCCCCCCAACAAAGAAACACTAATTCGCTGCGGGAGCTTAATGGGATTTTGGCCCCATCATTCAACCTCAAAGGGAACTGTACTGAGAAATGGCAAAATATTGCACCGTCATTTTAATAACTTTTCAGCTCTATTTCGTGGCAACTTGTTTGTAGCAACTTTATCTTGCAAATAGTAATATGCAACACAATGTGTTGCACGCCGCGTACTCAGACCACCAATTGCCAGGAAGTAATTGGATTCAGGCATCTCACGTATCCTCATACCGTATAAAAAACCTGAATTTTCTCCGTTTCTGTGAAAAAGCGTTGTAAAAACTTAAATTTTCGGACTATATTTCATTGTTTTGGAGTTGGCGTCCACCAAATGTCATATAAGGTCGTCTTTCAAAGCAGAATTTTTTAACCTCGTTGTTGGGACTTCAATCATTCGAGAAATCAGCTTTATTGAGAAATTCCCTTTATTGTTTTCACAAATACTGAAGTATTTTTGTGTTACAAGTTTTGGAACATTTGCCACTTGTCTAGCACCCGAGTCCCTTCATTTAACTTTAGTCGTGTTTTATCAAGAGATCATCGATCATGAACTGTTCATGGACAAGTCGTTGTCAAACCAACTGTCACCAGCATCATCCACGAGCTCCTTTCATGAGTACAGTCATCTTTGGAATGATAACACAATGGATGACCTGGATCTATCCGATATGTCTTCACCAGAAAATTCTTCGGATATAAGGTAACAGGAACTTTTTTTGATTATGATACTTATGGAAAAGGGGAAAAAATGAGAAAAAAAACGTGAACGACTTTAGGTTCAAACGTGGATTTAATTTTTAAGATATCCCAGCATTTTTCTGTTGTTCTTTTCCTTCCAACTGTTTGTAGACTACTTTTTAAAAAAGTTCCCCGTGGAGAATAGGGGCTTTTTTGCGTTTTGTGAGAGGTCAGCAAAGCAATTTTGACGAACGAATTTTTTTATGGAAAATTTTCTCGAGAATTCATGTGTCCACCCTGAACAGAGCTGTATCATTTGGTCTTGTAATGTAATTTCATGAACTATATTTACCTTGAGGCTTATTTTTTCTCACAGGAGTGCGTTTGCTAAAATTATCTCAGAAATTCAGCAAGGTAATGTAATGGCTTGAGTGGCTTTTTTCGGTTCAGTTTTGGTGTGTTGAAATAGTTTAGTCAATTTATTTCATTCACAGGTCTTTTAATTTTTTTCGGTTCAATATTTAATTGAATTGGCACCTTATATAAGTACTAATTTATTGACCCTTGGATTGTTAGTCTCAAATATCTGACTTCATTTTCGAAATTATATATCTTTTAAATTGCTAAAATTTTGTAAAAACTGTTATCTGCAGATCGGATTATCAGTCGCAGCCCTGTTTTGGCACGGAAGCTGGGCAACAAAACTAGAAAGCAACCGCCGACTTCATTGGGAAGTACAAAATCAAAACCCGAACATCAGAATTTGACACTAAGTCCCCTAGCTCCATCCGCGATTGAAAATGGCAAGGAAGGTGAATCATCAGCGAAACCGAGGAAAGTCAGCCCAGCTCGCCCATTGGGCTCAAGTTTTTACGTCACGAATGACCTTCGTGTTAGAACTGGAACACATTCAGAAACGTATGCAAATGGAGCATCTGAAAGCTGGTGTATGCCAGGAAGCCGTGAGTAAAGTATTAAAAAATTATTTCTGAAAAATTAGCTAGAAAAAAGGGTGTTTGTTAGTGTAATGAACACAGTGAAGACTCTTATATATGATTTTTTCGTTTTTTCAGGAAAAGTCTTTTATTTTGTTCACGCTCATTTTTGATTTTTCGCGGTTTAATTTTTCATTTGTTTTACGTTAAAAGAAAGGCAAATTTCACTATCGAACAGCAAGTGTCAAGCTCACGAAAAAGATTGACTTCTAGTTTCGAAAATGGAGATTGATCCAGTTTTTTCAAATTGGTGTAATTTTTATCAAAAAAGCACCAATCGTAACTTGTTCTTGAAAATCGCTTTGTTTTGTAGAGCTTTTTAAATTTTTACCCTTAGAAATTTCTTTCAAAATTTTTACCGTGTTTAGAATTTTCGTCACTATTCCCAAAACTACTTGCTAAATTTGGTTCAATCCAAAAAATCAGGGTTCGGAAATTTTCAATAAAAAATCAGAATGTCGAAAGCAGAGGCAATTTCCATGCTTTAGCAGAGAAAATTTTCGCAGAGAAAATTTGCTCTGTGGTTGTAATTTACTTACTCGATTTTGTTAAATTCTTTCTTCTGTTTTTTTTCGGCTTGATTGGTTTCGGCCTATTTTAGATCGGCTTAGTGGCGTCAGATTGCGTCTTTTGATGAGCGAAAAATGTATTTGTGTGTGTGTTAAAGGAGTTAAATATGACTGCAAAGGACAATAAAAAGTTCATCATTTTTGCTGGCTCTGACATAATCAGATCTTTGGAAATCTCAGGTTTTTGGTTAGTTGACGGCGCCTTCAAATTGCTTCCAATGCATATTAGTTTTGTTAGTGCAGCACCTGTTGGCACCAATTGAACAAGTAAAAATTAGTTGGATTTTTGCCAGGATTGAGATAATCATTCCCGAACATCAATTCGCAGTATTGGTAGACCTCAAGCTAGCAGCATTTAATGCATTTGCCAAAGGATTTCATGAAGCCCAGTTATCTCGGAGCTTCTTTCATTTTTCGCAAAATTTGTACATGAAAGTTCCAGATTTAAGCCTTCAAATGTTGTACGAGTCAAATCACGAGCTCGATGTGACCTTGAAAATGTTTGCCTTGGTTTTGACAAATGTGAAAGTTCTGGCCAATCGTATTACGTAACAGTGAATTTCAGCAATTTTTAGACGAAAAGTGTCTATATCAAGAGCCTCGTCTCAAACTACAACGTTGTGTTTCTCTCAGCCTTTTCGATCCATCGAAATGCTGCAAAAAGCACTATCGCTCGAACTGCGAACGCTTTTGAATTGTGGCGTCCGAGTATCTTAAGGTTAATCACTAAATTTTTTTAAGAGATGCTTTCGTGCAAAAGCTGAATTACTCCGTAACGTTCATTACCCGAGTAATGAACGTAGTTAGTTGAGTACTCACATATAGGTCTGGGTGCTTTTTTTCAGGAAAAATTTGTTCACGCTCAATTTTGATTTTTCGAGGTTTGACTTTTGATTTCTTTTTAAGTTCAGTGCATTTCCATTGTTAAAAGGAAGGTAAAATCCACTATCAAACAGTAAAAGTGTATAGGTCACGAAAAAGGTGATCGACTTCTAATTTCGAAAATGGAAATTAATTATTAGATATCCCAGTGAAATAAAAGTTTTGCCTATTGATCTAGTTTTCTCAAATTGAGTTAACTTTATCAGAAAAGTGTCTGTCATAAATTGTTCTACAAATTGAAAGAGATTTAAGACCATCTATTTTTTTCTTCGAAATTCAAAAGTTGAAGATTTTTGAAAAAAACAAGTCAGTTTTTTTTTCAGTTTTCTTGCGTCCCTGTTAGTTGGCTATTTTCTATATTTCTTGACAATAACCAACCTAGATGGGTCATATAATTTGATATATGAATTATGTTTTTTTTAAATTGCGAGAGCAAGTGCACTTGTAATCGGTAACTAGACTTTTTTCCCGTAAACAATTTTTTTTTATAAAATACTTCTGCTGCTGCAGTTACTTTCAAGTGCGGCAGTTACTGCTGCGATGACATGCTCAATTTCTTGAAATTCAAAAAAGAGTACCTTTTTAGTTCGTCGTAGTACTTAACATTTTTTTCAATAAGCTTGTTGAAAAAATGCTGTACAAAGTTTGATCTGATTTCAATTTAAAATATTTTTGAACTATGATTGAAAGTTGTTTTGTAATTTGTAAAATTCTCATTTTGAATAATTTTATACATTTTTTTTGTTTTTTTTTCCTTTTTTTTGCTTATGTTATATCAGCGGTGACATCATATATTGTGCCGTTACGAAGGCAAAACATTTTCTTATGCTTTTGTGGGATTCAGGGGGATGGGTCGTAAAAACTTTTGAGTTTCAAAACTTTATTATGACTACAGTTGTTTTCGGCTTAACGGAGTTCGCCCCAATAATGTGGTCCATCCTCTTTTTTTTTTTAAACAAAATGCTAATCATAAGCAGTTTTTGAAGTTCGAAGTTCTTTAACTTGTTCTAATTTTTTTTTTCAAAAGTTGGGGAAGGTTCAATTTTTTTTTGGTTTTGTTCTTTTGGACTATTCTTATCTTCTGTTGGCTATGAGTTATGGGCTTTCCTTTCATTTTCTTGCTGCGAATTTATAGTGTTGATTTTATGTGGTATCGCAAATGGTGCTTCGCGTATGTAGAAGTTGTTCACGCTCAGATTTGATTTTTCGCAGTTTGACTTTTGATTTCTTTTCAAGTTTATGTTGTAGTGGAATTTGCCTTCCTTTCAACAAAAACACCTTTTTAAGGTTGCTTTCGAATATATTCCGTGACAATGGAGTGAAATTTTTCAAGAAACTTTTCAACTCACTTTTACAACAAAAAAAGTTCAGACTTCCATCTCTTTTTTCCTTCACTATCTTGTATTGCGATATTTTTTATGAGAAATTTCCAGTCATAACCAATCGAATTAGGCGATCGTGAGTTTCAAAATACTTATTTCATTAGTTTTAGCTTTGAAGTCGGCTAACAGTGGACAAATTATTTCTGAGCATTGGTTTGCTTAACCGAGCCAGATTGCTCTTTTTGAAATCTTGTCTGATCTAGGTTCTCAAAATAGCGGCAAGGTCTTTTTGTTAAAATTCGATGTTGGTTTACGTTAGTAGGTTGCTTGATGTTAAATTTACTTGAAACAAAGCCGAAAAGAGTGGCTAATTCATACCAACATCAAAGATGCCGCACCTGGATGATTTGTCATAAGTCTATTGCACTAACGTCAATCAGACATTTGAAAAAGATTGAGAGACATTAACTCACTGGACTCGAAATCAAACTCCATACCAGATATTGGCTCTTTTCAACTCCCCCTCTAATGTTTTTGTGCCATTGTCTTATGTCAACGTTTAAATAGTTTTTCAAGAATGAATTTCAATTAAGGGTGAGAGGGAAGTGGAAAAGAGCCTTTTTTAAATCAATTTTGTAGTTGGTTTTCTGAGGTTTGGAAGCCTTTATTTGACTATGACAGTTGGACTTGTTGCAGCAATAGAGAAGGAGCCAGGAGTGATGGTGGAGTTTACGGGGGACGGAGGATTGGACACTACCTCTGATGATTCAGAACAGCTGGGCGGTGAAGTCACTTCTCCCATGTCCAAGGCCGCCAACAGACACTCGAAGCAAGAGGTAAAACAAAAATAGACACCAATGAAGTAACTACGATCACAATAACTAAACAACAGTCACAATAATTTATACAGTGCTGATTAAGAGTCGCTGAACGTAGTTGAGACTGTTATATATAGGTCATATTGATTTTTTTAGGTAAAAGTCTTAAAATTTGTTCAGGATCAAATTTATTTTTTCGCAGTTTAACTTTTGCTTTCTTTCGAAGTTAAGCTCATTTCCTTTCTTAGAAGGAAGAAAAACTCCACCATAGAACAGCAAAAGTGTAAAGGTTGCGAAAAACGTGATTGATTTTAGTTTCGAAAGTGGATTTTTTTCAGACTTGCCAGTGAATAAAAATTTAAGCTTTTTATCCATTTTCCTCAAATTAAGTTAATAATTTTGTTACGTGTCCATTATAAGTTGTTCTTGAATTTCAAAAAGGCCATCTATTTTTCATTCGAAAGTTGAAATTTTTCCAAAAAACTAGTTAGTATGTTTTTTCTGTTTACTTGCGTTGACTGACTCTTTTTCAACTTTCTTTTGGCTATTTTTTAATTTAACCAGACAAACTTGATATTTAAAGCGCGTGTTTTTCATTGGTTTGATTTAAGACAAAGAATGTTGATGACATAAGTTGCTTCAATTTTTAGCATATGGAAAATGGAGCAATTCAAATTGTGAAATTCGGGACCATTTTTACCCCAACAACATCGCAAACAATTTTTAAACGTTTTGCTCAAATTTTTGATGATTATACCTTTCTTAAATTTTGATAGGCTACATAAAAGGCTCACCCGGATAAAGTGTCATCAATTGACCCATTGGTTGAGGCGTTTTTGGGTGAAATAGATAGCACTACATTAATTCTGCTTGAAATTTAAACAAGTTTTATGTTCAGTATGTTTTGTCCCAAGTCAACTCAGTTCGAAAAAAAAAATGTTTCGAATTTAAAATTTGTTTTGAGCACTTTTCACTTAAACGTTTGAGACATTAAAAGTTACAATGAACTCAAATATAACCGCAACAGGACAGAAAATGAGTACACTGATCTAGAAAGGCCAGTAAAAGGAAACATGTCAGAAAAGAGAAACGTGGTAAGCCAATCAGAATCGAGATAAGAAAATAAACGTTCGAAATATTTTCTTTTCTCATTTCTGATTGGCCTAATTTCGACGTGTTCACTTCATGACCTGTATAATTTTGGCTATTTAACCTCTAATTTAAAGAGCTAAATCGATAAAGCAATCGTAAGATTTTAAAAATTGATTTCAACCCCGTTCAAAATTTTGTTTTGTGTAATTAAAACACGAATTTTTGTCACTTTTTTCTTAGCGTTGGCTGGTGGGCTGCTAACTGCAAGATTTTTGTGCATCGGAGGAATTGATTTCTTACAAAATTGTTTGATATATGCTTGTTGATATATGTTTGGGTCAGTTTTTGTTAAGAGTCGATGAACATAAGGAAGACTTATTCATGCCTTGAAATGGTTTTGAATTGGCGGTTTGACTTTCTTTCAAGTTCAGTTCATTAACTTTGATCGAAGGCCTGCAAACTGCTCTATTGGACAGCAAAATGTTTAAGGACTCGAAAAACATGATTTCCAGTTTTGAAAGTGGATTTAAATTTTCAGATTTTTTAAAATTGAGATTTTTTAAAAAGTAAGCTAGTATTTGTTTATTTCCTTGCATTGTTGCATTCATTGACTTTCCTAACTGTCTGTTGGCTATGTTTGCTCGTTTTACTTGGATTTCTCAATGGAAAACTTTGTTATTAAGAGAAATGATATATTGGAATTAGGGTTGTGCGGCTTTAATTACTAGTAAGTAAGGTTCTAGTAAATGTACTAGTAACTTACTAGTAAGTAAAATAAGGCCTGCTACTAGTAAGTTGAACGAAAATGAAATTTATGAAAAAAATAAGGCTCAATTATCAGTCTAAAGAGCAGAAAATTTTGTTTTTATATACTGCAACGCTGCTTCACTTGATAATACTGATCATAATGCTTAGTTTGCGGATTTTGAGTTTGTGTAAAATGAATAGTCTTCAAACTTGGTAGTTTTCAAGCAGACCCTGAGTTTTTGAAACCTACTAGTAAGTAAAAGTAACTTACTAGTAAAAAAGTGGTAACTTACACTTACCGGTAAACAAATTTTACTGACTAGTAACTGCACCACCCTAATTGGAATACAGCATATCTAATATGGTGGCGAGAATCTCAACTTGGTGCAATATATCATGCATCGTAAGTGCATAGTTTTGAATAAGGAAATTCTACAAAACATGAATGAAAGGTTGAGACCTACCAAAACGCCCAAAAATTCAAGCAGTTTTTTTGAGTACAAATGGTTTTATAAGAATTCTTGGATGATTTTGTCCGCAAATTTGCGTTTTTTGCGAGCAGTTTATGCAGGCAGTTTTTGGAGTACAAATGGTATTATAAGAATTCTTGGATGGTTTTGACCCCAAATTTGCGGTTTTTTGCACGAGGGCTGCTCCCATATTTTTTAGCGGTCTTCCGAAGGCGCCGACACGCTTCTGGATGCTGGTGGCGTTGAAGATGTTAACTTGTTCATTATTTTGTTTAAGAGGGAGGGCATATTGGCGGATGATGGCAGCCAATCGGACGAGGACGTTGAAAGTGAGTCAATGAACAGTTTTTTTTCTAACATAAATGTTGGAGTATAAATGTTGAATTTGATTTTGACTTAACCCATTTCAGGTAGCAGACAGTCTCTCACTACTCGAGAAAAACTCTTCGGCTTTGGAGGGAGAAAGAAATTATCAACCCCTTCTATGGAGCGGCGACGAATGCAACCGGGTTTGGGTGTACGGAGAGTCGAAACCATGATTGGTAGCATCGGAGGTCTGAAGCGAAATGGGACAATCAAGAGAAAAAAAAGTGAACCAGATATGGGGGTAGGTTTACTCAGTCATAAATGTAAAAATTTGTGGCTTTATTGAGGAATTCTGTCGATATTCTTATTTTTTTCTCTTTAAAAAAATATGCTTGTGTAAGCTTCTTGGTTGTTTGAACCAGGGCCATTTATCAATGTCGCTTTGTGTTTGGCGGCTTTAAATTTTATCTTTCATATTTTCGAAATCAATGTATTTTGCTTGGATACAATTAGTTGACTATAAGTTAGTTGACAATAATTTAATTTGATACTCCGAATGTCGATACTGAATTTGAAACATAATCTGATTTAATTTTTTCTGTTAATAGGCGAGATGGCAGAAATGAACAAAAAATGCACAGAAGAATGAAATTTAAAATAGCTTGGATGGAATTGGGAAAAAATAGCTGGATATTCTGATGTTAATGTTTTGTGAATAAAATTATGTGCCAAAGATTGGTTGTATGCTCATTTAATGTTTGGTTCATTTGTGTTTTAGTCAGTGGTGGCTAGCAGTGAAAACAGCGGCGGGGCGGCTGAGAAAAGTTCCTTGGCGGGCCCTAAATTAATTGTGTCTGAACCTGCACCCATGGACCTACTCTCAAGTGAGGACAAACTGCTGATCAAGAGAAAAAATATTGTGATGGAACTATACACGAGTGAAGAGAGCTACACTGAGCACCTGAACAGGCTAAACGTGAGCAATTGTGATGCTTTCACCGAAAACTATTTTGATTTTTTTTAATTTTGGTTTTTGTTGATTGATCTTTCTAAACTATATTTAAATGCGCGTGACACGTAGCTTACCATGTTTAAATTATATTTACCATGGTTAAGCTTCATAGCATATGTTAGCATGTTTAAGCTATATCGCATTTTGCGATGGTTAAGAATTTTTCGGTGTTTATTTAACCGAGTTTAAAATAATCCACCCAATAATGGGATGCTTTCAGGGTTACCCCAGGGGTTGCAAATTTAGCCACGAGTTAGGAACGCCCAAATCCTTTTGGTTTATCATAATACAACGATTTGTGACTTTTTCAAAAATTTCAAAAACCTCTAAGTAAAAAGTAATTCAAAATATTAAAATTCCCAAACCTGTAGTTGGGTGCTCTTAGAGCACTCTCAAGGATTGCGATTCTTGCCTCCAAATTTGACTGCTCAAATCCTTGTAGTTTTCGAGATATGACGTAATTTATGATTTATTTTTATTTTTTCAGAAACTTAGATTGTAAAAAATTCAAAAGATTTGTAATTCCCAGCCTTGTAGTTGGTTACTGTGAGGGTACCTTCAAGAGTTAAAAGTTGTAAATTGTGCGTCCAAATGCGACTGCTCAAATACTCTTTAATTTTCCGAGATGTGACGTTTCTTATGTTTTTTTCTTGAATGTTCAAAGAACTTAGATCGTAAAAGTTGAAGATTCACAATTATAGTGAGGCTCTGTCAGGGCACTGCTAGAGATTGAAAATTTCCGCTCCGAATATGACTGCCTAACTCTTTGTAGTTTTCGAGATACGACGTTCTTAGTGATTTTTTTTTCAAAAAAAAATTTCAGAAAGTTTAAATTAAAATGTTTTTTGTTTTTTCAAATTCCCAACCCTGTAGTTGGGGGCTGTCCGAGGAATCTCAGGGGTTGCAAAACTTGCCCACAAATATGACTGCTCAAATCTTTTACAGTTTGTTGGAATCTTTTTGACTTCACCCGAAAACTGCCATCACAATTCTCAGGTTGTTTTCAATCAGAAACCCGGTTTTGGGCATCTTCTCTGCTTAAGCGGCCACAACCCGCTTTCTACAGGAAAAGAATGATCGATTTTGGAAAGTCTTTTGACCGTTTGTTAGAAGTTTTGACCGTTTTTATAGAAATTTATTGAATTTTTGCTAAATTTACTCAATCACATCTGAGATGTAAAGCTCAATTCAAAGAACTGGTTGTGATAGTTGTTCAAGCAGAAGCGGCGACTCCTTAATTATTTGTAAGAGAAATGTTATCTCCTTGGGAAAATTGATTATCTCAAAAAAAATTTTTCTCTTCTAAATTATTTGAGTAAAGAACTAACCAAGGTTTTTGGCAAAGTTCAATTTTTGAAATCACATTTTTCGTGCCGCATCAGTATAGCAATTTCATCCAATTGAGACAAACAAAAAACTTGGTCAATCTATTTTTTTCAACCTTTTAAGTTTTTTCGACTTATGTTTTTTTGTTTGTGTTGTATCACAAGTGGTGCGAAGCTCCGTTTCGCCTGTGTTTAATTTTTTTTCCGCTCAGTCTGTGTCTACTCAAAAATTGTCGACTAAGTTGCGTTTTCACGGGTTTTTTGTTATGTATGCAACTTTCATTCAATTTGTAAGTGCAATTGATGTTCAATGTAGTTTCAGGGGGTGCTTGAAAATTTTTTAATGCATTATTTTTCGGCTCCAATTGTGTCTGCTCAAAGATTATCGGGTTAGTTGACTTATCACGTGTCTTTCTTGTTTGAGCAACTTTTCAGCATATGTCAGGTTTCGACCTATATTAGATCGATGCAGTGGCATCTATTGAGTCGTTTGAGAGAAATTTTTTTATTTGTATCCGTGTTCCTAGCGGAAGGGGGGCTTGAAATTGTTTTTTAACTTAAGGTTTTTTTGGCATGAAGGGTGTGTGTTGAGGCGTTTTTGGCTTTGTTACCGCTTGGCAATTATAATTTCAAATTCAATCCCAGCCATCCGGTATATTTCTTTCAAGTCGCTGTAACACCGATACTTACGACTATAAAAACCGGGAGTACGATTCCAGTCGAGACCTGTTTTTTTTTTGCAAACATATTTGAAAGTTTTCGTCTAATTTAGATTTATGTCTCTGCTTATTTTTGTCGGCTAGGTTCCGCATTTGTTTGTTTCCAGCATTCCAAAAGCTCATTGGAAATCTTTTTTCATTGTGCAGGTGATTTTCGGATTTTTTGGGCTGTTGTTGCAATTTTTATTGAAATTTTGATTTTTTTTTTCAATTTTTGTTCAAAATTTTCCATTGAACGCCCAAAAATCGCTTTTTGACCTGTGTTTGAAAACTTGCCTGAGGCGCAAAATTTTTGGTCAAAATAGGGTCGTTATAGTATTTTGGGTGTTCTCGAAATCAATTTGGGCGACCTAAAAAAAGGTCGGCAAAGTTTTTGTAATCATGCAGATAATGATGATGAATCTGATCATGTTTATACTGAAAATAATGATTTTGGTTATGGTGGTCATGATGATGATCCTGAAAATGATTAACCTGATAATAATAATCATAATAATAATTGTGGTTTCTGCGATTCGCTGAGAATCTACGAAAGGCCTTGCAGCCTGTCTAAGCATAGTCCATTTCTCTCATTTCCCCACATTCCAGACTTTTGTTGAGCGACGCTCTTTTTTTAGCGACTCAAGGTCGTTTTTTTTTGCGTCTAGAAATTTAACGTGGCACCTTATAATGAAGATGACCATGATGATGATGATGATGATGATGATGATGATTAATGATACTTGTCCTGAAAATGATATGGTTCAGGTGATCAGGGACGAAATTGATGGGATGAAGCGGAAGGAAGAGTGTCACAGTGTGTTGCGAAGAGTGGTGGACAAGGCACTTCAGGTGCACTATGCTCACACGACTGTGACTAGACTGAAGAACAGTTTGGACAGGAGAGTGCTAGAGTATGACAAACAACAGCAGATATCCCCACCCATTGAGGCATCGGTGAGTAGTGACGTCATCAATAGTCGTAGTCTCTATTTCCAAACAAATTATTCAGTGTTAATGAATCAAGTAAATTATTTACTTTTTCATTTTTTTCAACAAAAGTTTTGTGTCTTTTGATTACTATTTGAGTGTCAATGAAAGAGCTTAAATGATATAAAATTTTCACTGAAACTCAGGAGGTGATTATACTTGCGAGAGCAAGTGTCTTGAATGCAATTTTTTTCTGATGCATTGTTACTACACTATCGGGCGACCAAATTATAAATATAAGAGCGCTCCTTTTTGCCTTTGTCGGTGTTTGTGTAAATTACCTGTTAGTTTTTTATTTCAGTTCGGACATTCGGCCATGAAGGAGGCGTACACACGGTTTATCCTTGAACACTCCAAATCCCAACTGGTGCTGAAGAATGCGCGAAATCAGAATCAGTCGTTCGACCAGATGCTGATCCGTTTTGAGGACAGATATCCTGACAAACTGAACATAGAAGCCCTGCTGATGAAACCAGTGCAGAAATTGCCACAGCTTATTCTCATTTTACAGGTTAGCAGATAATTTGATCGGGCATGTGCCTTTCTCCATTTGCAGTTGGAACAAATTTTCTCGAATTTAAAAATTTTTGAAGAACTGTTTTCGAAGTGAGAGCTTCTCGCTTGATACAGCTCTGTGACAAAACAGTCCAGAACTAGGATGATTCAGTATAAAATCAGATCATTTTTAAACGCATTTTCTCAACAGTTAACAGAACTTTAAACTACAATAAAATTGTTTTACACGATGGTAGATGCAAAATGGGTTTTAAATCCTTGAGCGTTAAGAAAACTTGGCATTTACAATATTATTATTAGAAAAATATTCATTGTAAATGTGGAAATTATCTGAAGAGGATAGAAGAAGGACAATGTCTACACGAGTTGCTCTATTTTAAACAAAAACTGTAAATAAGTAATTAGACTTCAAAGCAATTTTCAGGTTAGCGACTTGTTTAACAAATCACTCAATAGGAATAGCGGACTATATAATGAACATGAGTAAAATTTCAAAAATGTAAGCAAACATTTCGTTATGTTTGAAAAATTGCAAAACTTTTTAAAAGACTAGTGTTTTTTTTAAAAAAAAAAAACAGCCAGTTTTGTGAACTCATGTTTTTGGACTGGAATCAGTGGGTCGAATAGGATTATAGCTGCTCCGGCTGAAGGACTGAAAGTTTAAATAAATACTTTTTCCCCGCAAACAATTCGGTCCACAGGACTCATTGAATCCCAATAAACCTTGCTTTATAGTTAATCAAATTCTGTAGTTTATCTTGCACACTTAGCTTGGTGGTAACGAATATGCCTTGGACGACAAATGTTCTTGAGTTCGAATCTGACCAGGACCAGTTTTTTTTCAAACGGTAAATTTTCCGGATCAAAAAAAAATTTCGGCCTATTATTTGTCTGCTTATGTTTTCTCGGCTTAATTGCCACATCTAAGAATCGTTTAATTTAGCTGTTAACAATTCTCACTGAAGTTGCTTTTACCATTTTAAAAATCCGGCTGAATTGATATTTATACCTTTCACATTGGTTATAATTTTACCAGCTCGATTTGTTAATTTCTTTTTCTTTTACTCTTTTTTATCGTTTTAATTAATATCGACGTAGTGGCCTCTTTTTGCGTCGTTAGGGTTGAAAGAAGTTCGATCGCTTTGAGGCTGTGTATTTTGGGCTGTGTTATCGCTTGGTAATTATAAACCCAAATCTAATCAACTATCCGGCGCATCTGGCATAGAGGTAAAACAGCAGTTTTAGATGACAAAGGCTTGCTGTTTGAGTCCGGTCAGGCCATTTTTTTTAAAAAAGTTTTTTTTTCGGACTATCGTCCGTCTGTTTATGTCTGTCGGCTTCGTTCCCATAGCTCGATGGTTCAGCTTTATTCCAAGTTGCTGTAACCCCCATGCTTGAGACGACAAAGCCCGGGACTTCGATTCCAGTTGAGACCTGTTTTTTTGCAATTAAAAAATTTTGGCTAATTTAGATTATTGTCTGTCTGCTTTTTTGTCTGCTTAGTTACACAAAGGAGTTTTTTGAAAACTTGACTTTTTAGCATTCTTAAAACTCTTTGCAGAGTTTCCAATGATGCAGGCAATTTTTTCCCGAATAGTTTGGGCTATTGTTGCAATTTTTATTGATAAAAACGATTTTTTGTTTCATTTTTTCCGTTTGATTTTAATCATAGTCATTCATATTGTATCGCAAGTGGTGCGAAGCTCAGCTCGCCTTTGTGTTGAGAGTTTATGAACGTTTTTCAGACTTTTATAGGTCTTGATGCTTTTTTCAGAAAGTCTTAAATTTAGTACGCTCAAATTGATTTATTTATGGTTTGAATTTTGATTTCTTTGAAATTCATTTTTTCTTTTGTTGAAAAGAGGGCGAACTTCACTATCGAACAGCAAAAGTGTTAAAGTCACGAAAAAACGTGATCGGCTTCTAGTTTCGAAAGTGGAATTTATGTTTCAGATTTGCCAGCGAAACCGTAAAAATGAAGATCACTAGGGGCGGATCTAGGATTTTCTCGAGGAGGGGTGGATTTTTAAAAATATTTGTCGACCTTTTTTTTATGTCCGCCAAATTGATTTTCCGAGCTCTCCCAAAGCAGTTAAAAGACCCTTTTGAAAAATTTTGAAAAAAGGCTCCCCCTTCAAAATTAGTTATAATTAGTATGGTTACGGGTCTTTAACCAAAATTGGATATCTCAAAATAGTACAATGGGGGGACCCTTTGGGTCGGCAAGGGGTCGAATCCCTGAGGGGAAAGAGGGCGTCGCCCCCCCCCCCCCCCCAGATCCACCCCTGGAGATCAAACTTTTCTTAAACTTTGTTGGGCTACATGAGAGGATCGCTTTGATTTAGAGTGTTCTCGATAATTGACGTGTAAGTTTTGGCGAAATTTTCGATAAACTAAAAAGCAAAAATGATCCGTTTTTGAGGTGAAATTTCGTAAAATAAATTGCACCGTGTTAATTCTGTTAAAATTCGAAGCAAGTTTTATCTTCATCATCTTTCGTCTAAAGTCAGCCCAACTTGAGAAAAACACGCTTCTTATTTCAATTTATTGCGTATAGTCCGGATAATTTAAATCAGCACTGTTTTATCATGATTCGTGGTTACGTAGCAATAAGTAGACAACTCCGTTAGCAGACATGTCAGTAAACAGACGAAATGTTCAATATCCATATCTAAGGCGATTTTCGCAAAAGAAAAACCACCATATTTATCCCCGGAAAAGCCACCAGATTTCTGAACAGCCTTGTTTTGCATTACGTTATCTCAAACATCAACTGAGTTCGAACAATTCTGATTTGAAAAAAAGCAATTTTCTCACCAATTTGTACCCAAATTGATAGCCATCTTCAGCCAATCAGATTTAAGTATTGTTTAATTTGTCTGCTTACTGATCTGTCTGTTTATGCTGCTGTCTTCTTACTTGCCGGACAGAACAAACCACGTTCGTTAAGTGAAGAAATAACACAGTGTTCAAAAATAGCCTTTGGAAACATACCAGCGATTCTAATTTGAAGTTCGTCCTATGTGTTCCAGCGACTGCTGTCATCTTGTGACACTAAGCACCCAGACAGACAAGGGTTGCAGAGGGCGGTGATGGCAGTGGAACAACTGGCCCATGACTTGAATGACATGAAAGGCCAGCAGGACCTGACCAGACATGTGGAACAGCTGAGAGATTTATTCGCCAAGAGCCACAAGACCGGAACTGTGGATCTACTTATTCCCAAAGAACAGATTGGGTAAATGGATATTGACAAGCAAACGCGGCTCTTTTACCTTAACACCCCCCTCTCGGGTGGATAATGAACGGAGATAATGAAAATCAGATGGTAAAAAATTGAGCGCTTTTTATCGGACCAAAAAAAATGCTAAAAACTATAGCAATAACAGTAATCTTTTTAAGTTCAGTTCAATTCCTTTGTTAAAAGGAAGGCAAACTGCACTATCGAACAGCAAAAGTGAAAAGGTCACTAAAACAAAGGCCACTATCTTGTTTTACTTTAATTGTGTGTATTTGCAAAAGGCAAATGTTCAAATTTGGTTCTGCTCATTGTATTTCTTTATTAGTTTTACCTTTTCTTTCTTTTTTTTTACTTTTTGACTTTTTAGGGCTAGTTTTTGCTGTTGTATTGGTAATAAAAAATAGATTAGTAGCACGCTTGGTAAGGGGAATCAATAATGGGATGGAAAAAGGGAGCGAAAAGTGCCAATGGAATTTACCTTAGATAGGACAGTGTAAAGAGAGCAAAACAAGTCGGTTAAAGTGAAAATGAATAAAATATCACGAATTAAGTTACGCCAATATGATCGGTTGGGTTGATTTTTTTCTCAAACCCTCGAGTAGAGTGTGGGGTACGTAATTTTTTTTTATTGAGTTTTTGGTCCAATTTTTGTCGTTTTTCTAATTTGGTTTTAGTAAAGTCCAGTTTGGCATGCTTTTGGGTTTTTTAAGAGTAATGAACGCAGTGAGAACTCTTATATAGGTCTTGGTGATTTTTTAAAGCAATTTAAGATTTTTTAAAGCATTTTGAGATTCAAGTTTAATTTTTCGCGGTTTGACGTTTGATTTCTTTGAAGTTCAGTTCATTTCCTTTGTTAAAGGGAAGGTAAACTCCGCCATCGAACAGCAAAAGTGTTAAGGTCACGAAAAACGTGATTGACTTCTAATCTTGAAAATGGAATTTAATCAAATTTCCCAGCAAAATCTAAGTTTGACGTATTGATATAGTTTTCTCTAATTGCGTTGATTTCATTATAAAAGTTTCAATCATGAATTGTTCTACAAAATCAAAGAGATCTAAGACCATCTATTTTTTTATACTCAAAAGTTGAAGTTTTTTCAAAAAACAAGCGTTTTTTTTCTGTTTCCTTGCGTTCATTAATCTTTTCCAACTGTCAGTTGGTTTTGTTCTACAATTGGTACTTTTCTCAACTATTGATTGCGACAAGAAAAAATTTAAAAGCACTCATCCATGACACGCGCTTCAGAATAGACACACAACCCCCCCCCCCCCCCCCCCGCTTTGTCTCGCTGGTGTTGAAAGTGTGTTTATGCCCCCCTCCCCTCGAATATAGATCCCACTCTGTTCTCTGGTGTTGAAAGTGTGTTTTCTGTTTGTTTCAGACTGTGTGCGAGGAGAGATGAGGTGAAAATCATGATGCTGACACCCTTCTATGGTGTCTCTTACATTGACGGAATAGTGCTTCTCTTCCCCGGCAGAATCCTGCTCTTCGCCAAGTCCAAGTGGGTGTAAATTAAATCTAGTTGTTTACATGAAGTATTCAACTCCCACTTCTATTAGTGTTCCGAACTACAGATTTAGAAAAAGTGTATAAAGACAGAATTGTATAAAGACAATTTAAGAAAAAGTGTGTAAAAGACAGACTTCTGCATTAACTTACCAAATTTCATGTCGATTTTAATGATCAATAGAACCTCAAGCAAGAAAAAGCCTAATTTTATTAAGAAGTTGCAGGATTCCTCTCTGCTGCGATAATTGCGAAAGCCAAATGTGTAAATTTTGCATTTCGATGGTCAAGTTTTGATTTTCTTGAGAGTAAGTCTACATTTCTTTGGAATGATTTTTAAATTTCTGTCGGTAGATTTTGCATTTCTGTGGAGTAAGTTTAGCATTTCTATGGAAAAAGTTTAGCATTTCTTTGGGGTAATTATAGCGTTTGTTTGGAGTAAATTTAGCATTTCTATGGAGTAAATTAAGTTTTTTATTAATAAATTTTGCATTTTTTGGTTAAATTGCTTTTCTGGAGAGTAAATTTTGCATTTTTATGGAGTAAATTAAGCATTTTTATTAGTAAATTTTGCATTTTTTTTTGGTTAAATTGTTTTTCTGGAGAGTAAATTTTGCATTTTTGTGGAGTAAATTTAGCTTTTTATTGGTAAATTTTGCATTTTTTCTGGTTAAATTGCTTTTCTGGAGAGTAAATTTTGCATTTTATGGGTATTTTCTATTTCTATGGAGTAAATATTGTATCTTTTCAGGGGTGAGTTGCGAGGCGAGCGTTTGATGTGTCTTTTGAGTGGAGACATAGGGCGGGTGCAGTGTATTGGCCACGAGATCTTCTTCAAGATGCAGATGTGTGACAGTGTCGATCAGGACTTGGTGGATGATTGGAACGGAGTGAACGACGACGAGGGCAGGTTGAATATCTTGAAGGCTGAAGTGGACAAACTTAACAGGCTAGTACTAATATAAGTAGAGATGCAAACATGAAGTTTGAAAAAATAGAGCATTAGATGAGATGTAAAAATGAAGTTAAAAAAAACAACAATAAGTAGGAAGAATTAAGTAAAAAGAGCAATCTGCCGATTTAAGTTCAATTTTGCATGCAGGTTTAAATTTTCAGGTTACCTTAGATAAATATTTTGTCTATAAACTGGAAGTTGCTCTTTTTAATAAACACTGATTTTCTGAAACTTTTCGCTTGTTCCTATGGTAACGAATAGCAGTTCTCTGCATCTTCCCAGTCGAGCGGATCATGAAACAACAGTAAGTAGTAGTGCGAGAACGCTCCAGCCTTAAACATCTTGACATTAAAACAGTTAAAGACTACACCTAGAACCACCCAAAAGGTGAAAATATTGGAACCTTTTCCAACTGTCTGTTGGCTGTCTTTGTTATTTTTGAATGTTTTATTGCAGCTTGAATCATGGCTGAAAGGGTTCAAATGTGATATATCATTCAACTTCTTACGACTTTTCTTTGGAGTACCTAGATTGCGCGGAAAAAAACCGGAAATCTTTCCCATTCTATGTTTGGAACAGTCTGTCATTTTTTCGAGAGCGGTGACTGTAATGGCTATAATCGGGTTATACCACCCTCTCTTTTGTGGTTTAATTTGTGGTTTTGTTTGTAGAGAGTACAAAGATCTGAACAGTGGTCACGTGTCGTTGGCTCTAAAGGAAAACGAGGCAGTGAAGAAAGATGTGTTGCAGAGCATTAAGGTGGCCGGATGTATCGACGTCTTCTTTTCAGCCGAGCCAGACCGAATTATCGAGACAGAGTTAGTCTTGTCTTTTTCCTCGATTTTTATTAACCTTCCGACCTACCCGCTGTAGGGCCATGCTGGGAGGGGGTTTAATCCGTTTAGTCGTAGCCGTTTTCACTTTGAGCAGGCGGATGACATTGAGAACCCTCCGACCCGGATCGAAGGACTGTCATAAATGATTCTCCCTTACGAGGGCTGAGACTTGCTGTTATTGGTATTTTCGAGTTTTTTTAGTACGAGTTTAATTCTGACGTCTGAAGAAAAATATGTATCAACTGCATAGTTTCGATAAACACACTTGCGAGCTTGCATGTATTAGTTCGAAACTTCTTTTTTCTAACCTAACTCGTAAATAAAAGTGTTCATAAAATGAAAAGTTTTCACTTAATTGGGGGCATTTTAGCTATAATCACGATCTGTAGCATTGGAAATTTCATTGCATCTATTCTCTGTTTGATTTGTGGCTAATGTTTGTGATTTATTAAGCGTGCGTGGCTGAGTGGTTAGTACGTGAGACTCATAGTCTCTAGGTCGCAAATCGAATCCGAGTCGTAGCCCCATCTTTAATAATTCGAAGTTTATTCTCTTTTAACTTATTTCACTTTATAGAGCTGCTTTTTGTCGTATTCTCGCTAGTGTTTGCGGAAGTGCAGCTTCCCCTCAGTGTCAAAAATTTATTTACCAAAAAGTGGGAGAAGGTGAATAGTCTCAATTAGTCAGTACGGATCATCTGGGAAATATCAATAATACCTTCATGTACCCTATTTCTGGTTGGCAGTTTAAATAAATAATTACCCTAATGATAAGCAAGGGTGTCACAACCGGGTTTATGAACTTTTTCCGTAAATTTATCTTTTTTTTTCACAGCATTACTGAAATGGGGGGTCATCTCCAAATCTCTTCTTTTGTCAGCCAACACATATTTTGAACATGTCTGTTTTTTAAGACCGTTTTTTTGTTCATTTTAAATTAACTCCCATTTCAACTATCATTTTCAAGAGTCACTGTTCGTAGTGAAGTCTCTTGTTTTGGTCTTGGTGATATCTTGTGTTTTTTTTTTCAAGAGCAAGTCTTCAAATGCTCCAATTACTACAAATGTCTATTAATACATTTTAATAGTCGAATAACTACAAACGTGTATTAAGAAGTTTGTGATTTAGGTATGCAGTGCATATTTAAATTAACAGGACAAAACGAACAATATTGATCAATTTAAACGCGTTTTTTCTCAAATTGGGTTAAAATTAGACAAAAAGTGAAGCGCACAAAAGTTAGAGTTTCACCAGAGTTATCATGATGCAATTTATTTTTCAAAATTCGGAACCAAAATTTTATATCGAAATTATGTCAGCCTGAGTTTTTTTTATGTAATCAAGAATTACTCTAAGACCACCAAGTTAATTGATGTGAAAGTTATACCAAAAGAAACGTCTTGCTTAGGCCAACAAAGTTCTAGTAAAGGTAAAGTCTCTAAAAATTTGTATAACTGAATGTTCTTTCAGTTGATAGCCAAAAAATGTTTTGGTAACCTCAAAATCTGTGCCTAAACAGAAATTCAAAATGTTTTGCCTAAATTTTTGGCAATTTTATTCCTCTAAATGGTTGTTGATCTGAGTTAAACGATTCTTTTGGTTAACTTATACATCATTTAATTTGATAGTGTTAGCGTAATTATTGATTACCCTTAAACAGCCGAACAGACCCAATTTTGGGGTAAAATTTTGGTTCCAAGTTTTGCCAAATAAATTGCATCATGATCATTTTGTTCTCTTCATTTTTTGTCTAATCATGACCCAATTTGAGAAAAACGCGTTTGAAGTTTCACTTTTTGTTCATTTTGTCCGGATAATTTAAATCAGTACTGTATATTCTCTTTTTGAGTTCAATTTAAGTTTATCTGCTTAAAGTTAGGTAATTTGCGCTCTTCAAATTTGAACGTGGAAATGGCGCAAAAGAAAAAGGTGATGATTTTAAACTGACGCAGAAAAATTTGTCCTGAAACTCAAACAGCATCAAGAACGTCTTTTTTTACTTCGAATTATGAATTCAACGGTAAGTCTGTTTTTTTTCTGTTTTCCTTCGTTCATTAACACTTACTATCCTACTTTCTGTTGGCTAATTTTTTCTTTTTCGTTTTTTTTTTTGTAGATATTTGTCTCCGTAAAGACTTCGACTTATTATGTAGCGGCTTAGTAACCTTACGAGACGTTTGATGAGCAAAAAAGTTTAATATAAGTGTTTTAATCCAAAGATTTAACCTAGTGGTCGTAAGTGCATTTGACGGGTGGTGATGGGCTCTGTTAATGTTTTTGAGGTTAGTTTTGGTACAATTTTATCAGATGAATTATTGAGACGCTTTTTCGAAAAAAAAAACTACCGTGGGCTTTGTCTCATTTTCTTTCGGTTAGTTTGTAATGCTATGGTTGCGTTGTATCGCAAGTGGTGCGAAGCCTGGCTTCGCGAGTTTGTATGAGTTTATGATCAGTGTTTGAACATAATACTGTCATTTGCAGATGAATTGGATCTTTTCAACTATTTCCTCCTGTTGCAGTTTTTGAATGGCAAGGGATCTGTTACTAGGTACAAAATCTGTTGTTGCTTCGTTTCTTTATATGTGTCGTAATTCTTCACTTCGTATAATAGGGAAAAACCATTCTTTACAAGGTACCATGTTCTTTATAAGGGTGATTAATCTTAAGTATGTACCATCGAGCGAGAGGACGAGGGTATAAATAAAAATGGTAAAACTATGTCGTTTAGTCCTATTCCGTCTCCCAACAATGAGCAGAAATCTGCTTCTGAAATGCATCTTTCCCAGTGGAAGTTAACCTTCTCTTCCAAAGAGGAATCTGCGTCATTCAACATCACACTCAAAATGCTGCAAATGGCGACCCAATGTTGGTTTGCGAATAACTTAGCTGACACGTTGTCCAGTCCAGTTTCCGATGACTCAACTGATTCCAGGGGACGTATGAGTCTAGAACAGACAATGGGAATTAATGGAAGCTTGCCACGAAAGAACTCGCCATCGAATCCGATCACTCCACCAATGGGTAGAATGCGCAGTCCGTTACCGAACAGGAAGCCTGCTGGTTCGACAGTTGTGAAGAAAGATTCGATCACTTCAACCGGAAGCGGCATCATCGACTGCATGTTGGGATCCCTGGTGGGATGTTGGATCAAGACGAACAGTGACAAAAGTAGCGTAGAAAAGTATCTCTCGCAGCCGATGTTGCACTCGATTACTAAAGTGAACTCTGATGCTAAGCGAGAACTCCTTTCACAGAGCACGCAGGACTTCTTTGAAGGCGACGAAGTAGAGGTCAGTTAGTGTTTACAGCAAAAATGTAAAGGTCACGAAAAACGTGATTGACTTCTGATTTCGAAAATGAAATTAATTATCAGATTTCCTAGCCAAATAAAAGTTTTGCCTATTGATCCAGTTTTCTCAAATAGGTTTAATTTTATCAAAAAAGTGTCAATCATAAATTGTTCTAAAAGTTCAAAGAGTTTAAAGTCCATTTATTTTTTCTTCTAAGTTCAAAATTTTGTTTTCTGTTTTCTTGCGTTCATTACTCTGTTCCAACTGGCAGTTGGCTATGTTCGTTAATTTCCTCGCGTAAAAGTTGTGCCCAAAAAAACTAATAAATCTTAAACGCTTAATTTTGACCACATTGTTCATAGTGACCGATATTGCCAACAATGCTCAGTAGTTAATGGAAAAGCAACCAAACGTTTTTGTTTTCATATGCCCCTGTTTTTTGTAATGGGCTGTTTTGTTTAGTTGGTATGTGCACTTCCGCTCTCAAATGCTCCGAATATCTGCCCGTTGGCACTGGAACCGAAACAGACATTCAACTTGTGAGTATCATTCTCTGTATTTCAAAAAAAAACTTTTTTCAGATGTGTCAGTTTGTTTGTACAATACCACTATTTTTCTCAAAACTGGAAAAAACTAATACTTGAATTGATGGCATTTATAAATGAGTGGCGTAACTAAGTTTTAAACCTTGAGCAAAAATGCCGCTTTAGGGCATCACAAGTTTTTTGACGCACGCTCCCCTGAAACTAAGATGCGAATCTGCGATAATCTTGATGCATTGGTGCTTTTGGAAAATTTTCCGTTCGTTCTTTAAAATTTGTTCGTTCAATATGAGTCGTAAAATAGTACCAAAGGGGGGACTCTTTAGGTGTTCGAAGGTTGAATTCTTAAGGGGGGAAACGTCACCACGTACTTCAACCCCATCCCCCTTTGGCATTGTTTTATATATTGCATCCATTTTCGGCCGACCAACCCTAAAATTTTTCTTAAGTATTTTCGACGCCATTATATACTGATTTTGAAGGGGAGCGCGCGCCGAAAAAACGCACTATGAGGCTTTTGGTGCTTGTATTTGCAAAAACTTTTCTGTCTATTGTATTTTTGTTTATTTTTGTCGTCTTAACTGCAACTATTTTTTTGTTTTTGTTCTGGAATTTTTTAATTAGTTCAAATTTTTCAATGATTTTTCAAATTTCCTATCATTTTTCGCTTAGTCATTAGAAATCAATGAATTTGGCCTTGTGTCCGAAATTATCCGAAATCACGACTGGATCAGATAACAAACTAGAGATAACAAACTGTTCAAACTTAGGGATGATGTTTTACAGTGACGAAAAGACACACCCGGAGGTGTTGTTGTGCTACGGGGCCGTCTGGCTAATCCACTCGTCCTCCACTGCATATCGCATCTCAGTTTACTCCCTCTGTGAGTCAGGGGCCATCCACTCCCTCACCAATGGCAGGAAAATGACAGGAGGAAAGCAGCAGGCCTTCTGTGCAGTCGCTGTACCAGGTCAGAAAAGCAACCGCTACAAGTCTGATCAGGGGTGGATCTAGATCTAGGATTTTCTCGAGGGGGGGATTTTTAAAAAAAATTCGAAAATTTTGCCGACCTTTTTTTTTAGGTCGACCAAATTGATTTTCCGAGCTCTCCCAAATCAGTAAAAAGACCCTGTTTTGGTCAAATTTTCCGCGCAGCAGGCAAACTTTGTGAAAAACAGGCCAAAAAGGCGCTCCCCTCTCAAAGTTAGTATATATTGGCGCCTTAAGAAAATTTTTAGGGTCCGTCTCCAAATATGGAAATCTCACAATAGTACAAAGGGGGTTCCTTTGGGTTGGTAGGTGGTCGAATCCCTGAGTCCACCTCCCCTGAGTCTGATTGTTGAGTCCCTAAAAAACAAGTACAAAAGATTATTTACGTTTGCGAGCAGCATAGTGTATTAGTTTGACTCTATTTTTTTCCAACCTAACTCGCAAATAAAAGTCTCCTTTTGGTGGCAATTTTGCAATAATCAGTATCTGTAGCAAATTTCATAGCATCTGTTTTTAGCAAATTTCAGAGAAGGCTAGTGTTTTTCGGTCGTTAAGGGTCCCTGATTGATAAAGAAAGAGCTGCCCAAGTTAGTTGATGTGATTTTGAGGTCTGGATGTGGATGACAGTTTTGTCCAGTGGATGAGCAACCAGCAGAACACTGATGTGAACTCACGTGGTGGGGGAATTAACAAAGACACTGAGGAGCCAGCTCAGAGACCCAAAGTGCTCAGCCAGCAGAGTGTCTGGATCGGTACTGACAGCGGGTAAGTTAATGATTTTGACTGTGGGAGCTTGAAAATTTTTACTGCTAGAAACAAAATTTCAGCGGTAATGTAACTCTTTTGTTGAATTAACCACGTAAAAAAGTGTTCCTTTGGTTACCTGCGATTATTATTATGATTTATAATCTGAAAGAAGTTGGATGTTTTCAGCAGTTGTGTTAAAAATGAAGAGATTGTCAATTATTTAAGTCGTGATAATTTTTTTGTTTGTTTTCTTTCAGGAAAAATCTTAAGACTTATTCACGCTCAAATTTGGTTTTTTGCGAGTGTTTTTTAGTCCTTTTCCTTTTTCCAATCATTTGTTGACTATGTCTTTTTAGACTATGACTCTTGACTTTTTAGAGTGGTTGTGTACCGGGTGTCGAGTAAGACTGGAATTGGAAGCAGAGTGTTCACACTTCCCACTGACGTGGAGGTGAAGAGCATCGCATATGCCAATGGTAACGTGGTAGCCGGACTGGAGAACGGACTCATCAATGTATACACAAGGAGCTACGCAGGTACATTACTAGGCTCAAGCATCAAGTTAACTTACAAATTTTAGAGTTATCCTTTCCTGTGATGACTGGGTTTTTGAGACCGACGGTACTCTTATGTGTCGCTGAGTTTAATTTTTTTGTGTTGTTGAGACGTCTTTATGCTATTTAAGACTTCTAAGAGTCATAAGTTCTAAAATAACGCCACCTTTTGTCAAGAAGTCGATTTTATTTGTTACTGAACTAGACAAATTAGGAAATAGTTTCATTAAGTTATCGCACTTTCTATGAATCCTGGTAATTTGAATGTACCGTTACAATGCACACCCTATCTTGCAAAATATCAGATGACAACGTAAATAGGAAAGGAAATTTTTGTAATCTTGTTTCAGAAAGCAGTTACGGCGTGTGGAACAGAACGGCAGTCGTCATAGACATGAACGAGAGTCTTTCGCGGCAACAGATCCGAGGTGCCAATGACGACGACGGCTCGGACTCGGAGGACTCAAGTCAAGGCTCTAAGGGGGGTTCGGACGATGATCACGAGGAAGAGGACTTGGGAAGAATACCCCAGGGTCCAGTGACATGCATCATTCTTCCCTTCAATGACTGTCTCAAGTCAGTGGCGGATGCGGCCCAAGTGGTGGACGTGGCATGGTGTTCGATTGCTCACCAGATATTCATCATCAGTATCATCAGTCGAAAAATTCTGGTGAGTCGAAAAGACTCACAGGTATTTTTACCTAGAAAACTACTGTCGGCTCTTTTCCAGTTTCCAGCCCTACTCGTAAAATTACAAAAGAAAGCTGTTCAAAAGTTGTGCACGCGGCAATGTGCATATAAAAAATGTTGTAAAATAGTTCACGCTGGCACGTTTTAACGCAGTTTATAACAAGAAAAGTCATTTAAAAACACTTTCATATATTGAATTTCAGAAAAAATCTAAAAAGAGACTGAAAAAAGCCCTACTGTCAGTTGCCTTATAATCGCGGTCACCGGAGACTTAATTTTGCCTTAAAGTTTAGGGACGCCAGTAAGAAAACACCCCTGACACTATTGTTCCTGGTATGTTAGGGAAGTGGAAGGAATTACGGCCTGTTGAGTTTTTTTTTCGTAAAAATTTGTTGAGTCCACGTTTTTTAGACAGAAGGATTAGTTTGTATTTATAGAAACATTTATAAAATATCAATGATCGTAGTGAACGTGTGTTCTTTTTTATGCTTTTTCAGGAAGTTTTTTTGAAATTTGATCACGCTCATATTTGATTTTTCGCGGTTTGATTTTTGGATTATTTCAAGTTCAATTAAATATCATTTGCCAAACAGAATGCAAATTACGCTCACCAATCAAAAAAGAGCAAAATTGTGATTGACTTTTAGCTTAGTTTTTCAGTGGATTTAAAAATTGCTGGTTGACCCGATTCTCTCGAAATGGACTTCTTTGGTGATAGGTGTCCATCATAGGTGACTTGACATTTATTGCACATTTTTTAATTTTCGAATTCCAAAAAAAATACATCTTTATACGACTCGTCGAATTTGAAATCTGTGATTGTGACAATCATTGAAGATTTTAAATTCGAAGAGCGGTATGTAGATGTGTTTTATTTTTGGAATTCGAAAGTATGAAAATGTGCAAAAAATGTAGAAGTCACCTACGTTTGGTGTTATCACGGATGATTTGTTCGTTAGGTATTTAAAACTGTGCCGTTTTGTTTCAGTACAAGATAGAGTTGCCGCTTTTGCAGACAGTTGAGTTTATGGCTTCAATCGGAGTGAGTGTGTTCGTGTGTTGCAAGCAGAACAGGACAGTCCAGATGTTCCACGCAGAGACATACGAACAGCTGTCAATCATATCTCTGGACAAGTCAATCATGGCCTTCGCCAAACACATTGGTCTGCCCGATGATGGCGCACCCGCCTCTCCGTATTCATCCAAGGATCCTAGAGCGAGAGTGAAGATGCAGGAACAGCAAGTCAAAGGTGTTGTTACTGAGTTCGAACTAGTGAACTACTTGAAGGAGGGTAGGGGTTCTACTAAAATTGCGGGAATATTTAAATGGTATTATCCAAAAATAATGAAACACTTCTGATTTTGAGGTGTCAATTTAATTCAGTCTATTGAAAGTATTTTGAGTGGAGTAGATTGTGCTTTTGAAATAAGTGACTAATAAAGGATAACGAGGAATGAAAAAATGATATCGAAATTGAAAGCATGGACTCCTGATCTTGAGGTAGGGAAACGACTTGAAGTATAGTTAGCTTTTTAAGAGCTAAATTTTCTGTGTCTATGATCTCTTCAAAATCAATTTAAAAAGTATATTCATGGTTTGACTTTGTTCCTTTCTGATAAATATAGGGCTAATATGAATTTTGCATGGAATAATTTAATATGGATTTTCGAACGGCGTGAACATGGTGTTTAAAAATGATGAAGGAATTCCTGACATCGAGATGACCATTGTGTCGATGTGTTGTGTATGTTCACGTAGGTCGTAGATCATTTCGGCGGGACAGCAACTACCTGAGTGGTATGCACCCCTCTGCCATGGCAATCCACTCTGGCAGTCTGTGGGTGGGCACATCAGGGGGACACCTCGTCAGATTCGAGACCTCTAAAATAGGTTAGAAAAATCGGTCTTTCAATTTTAAGATAAGATGGCCCCCAATTTTCAATACCTATATATCCAGTTTTCTCAAATTGGGCTAATGTTATCAAAAAAGCGTCAATTGTTAATTGTTCCAGAAATTCAGAAAGCTTAAAGGGCTTCTATTTTTTCTTTGAAATTCGAAAAATGAGATTTTTTCAACAAAGTCAGTGTTTTTTTTTTGTTTACTTACCTTGATTACTCTTTTCCAATCTTCGATTGGCTATGTTTAAATACAACAAATGAACCGAAAAAGTTGTTTGTTTCAAACGACATAACCATAATAAAAACCCGAGTTCAGAAATTTTCTCAATATGTCTTGCAATTTTTTGAAATTTATACATTTTTTTTCCAATTTGGCTTAGTTTTTTTCCAATTTACTACATGCAAAGTTGGTGTGGTTGCTTTTAGTTTATTATAATCCAAATTAGTGCATGCAACAATTGTGTCTATTTATATTTGGGGCTGTTTTTGCTGCATAGCATTGGCAACTTATTAGCGTATGTAGCTTCTTTATTGGTGGCCAGTGTTGGTAAATTTCAAGGGCCGGTGGCGCAGATACTAGGACGTGTGACTCCAGATGTCTTGGCCATAAGTTCGAATGTGGCACAGCAAAAGCGTTAATTTTCAAGGCTTATATTTACGTTTTGTTTACAGCTACTTTTTGTTATCTTTGAAATTCTAAAAGTGAAATAAAAAAAAAACAGTTTGTTATTTTTCTGTACTTGCGTTCAATGACTCTTTTCTAATCGTCTGTTGGCTTAGAGTCAAAATGTATGTTTACTTGAGTCAAATAAAGGTTTTGCTTCATTGATAGTTATCGTTTCAGGTCTTATTCCGGCTATCAGAGAGCCGAAGGTCTGTGCGTACTACTTCGGAGAGAAGCCAGTCAAGAGCATCATATTCACTGGCAAGAAGTACCAAGCGGCTCACCAGAAAGTGATCATGAGTGGCTTGGGTGGAGGCAAGAACAGCCAGGGAGCAAATTTCGAGAGAAAGAGCGGGTTAGTAGCGATGAAGGTCTTTGGTTTCTCTAAAAATTCCTCTGGAGAATTTATATAACTATCTTTTTCAATCCCCGGATGTATATGTAGATATACAGATCTTTGAAAAGTTGAAAGATTTTGCAACCGCGAGGGAAGAGGCTACGACGAAGGGACTTTGTATTCAGGTTCAGTTAATTTAAGCTATTTTTCTCATTTTTAATGTTTGCTTTCCATTTACGAATGAACAAATGGTGCAAAAAAAAACATAATCGATAGAAATCTTTCTTCTAGTTTTTGTAAGGTCGAAATGAGTATCTGTGCCATAGACCAGGCGTACGTTTTGTTTTATTTTTACTTAGGTATTGTGCACGCTACCACCGGTCTTTTTACGCTTATGTGTAGCGAGCGTTAACAAAATCAATTGAATGATTTGATAGCTTTATTGAATTTTGAATTTACTTTTTTCGAAATTTAAAGCTTCTCCGGCACACTTATTCTCGGGGTTTCCAATAAAAAGCATTTTTGGCTAATCATTTGTTTAGTTGACTTGTTTTCATTGCAAAATTAGCAGCTCTGATGTATCATGATTTCTTTTTTATCTTGAAAGCTTTAACCGGCCTGAAATTTTTCCGGCTTATGTTTTTTCCACCTAGTGATATTTTTAGGTCTTTTGAAAAGAAAACTAGATTTTTAGCTTTTTGCGTATATTCAGAAAGGGAAGTGCGTACAAATTTAGTTGCAGAATTTTATAGCTCGAAGTTTTTCATGACATTTTGTTTTGTTTTAGCTCAACTGGCGTTTATCCAAGTGATGTCAGCATGCTTGCTGCTCGATAAATGTTTTTGAACACTTATTTACACAGGCAAAGCTTGTGTGATAGTATGAACTCTTTGTTTTCAACCTAAGTCGCAACAATTGTTGCGACGCAAATATTGTTGCGACAAAATGTGTTCATAGTGGTCAATAAGCATCTATTAAGTACAGCCAGTGCTAAGGATAGTAACACAGACTATTATATTATAAATAGCAGTTTAGCTTCAAAGTATTATTGATCTGTAGCGTAGAGGTAGGGAAGGAGACCCACAACAAAATAAGAGGGTTCGAACCTCGTCAGGGACGGATGTTTTTAATAATTTTTTTTATACAAGTTAAAATGCGTCCGCTCTATAAATTGAGGCATTTTTTTTTTCAAATTGACTGGTACTGCTAATGCGTCATAATTGGCGTGCGTCACTTAAGAAGTTTTGGAGACTCACAGTTTTACCCATTCAGGATTTCCCAGTAGCGTTATCAGGCATATTTTTGGTTGTGTATACGAAGTGAGTGCGACTTCGCCTCTGTGTTTAATAAGGCGGCTGTATTCCTAGGCGTGTTTTCTACTGAATTTAAACACATTCCAGAAAATTTATGAGGTTTTTGAAGAACTAATTATTTTTTCGAATAGTTGGTTTTCGTTTTAATTTATCTCAAGTATAATGTTTTCATGTTATTAAGAGTCGATAAGCGGAGTTCATGCTCTTATAATGGTCGTGTGTTTTTTTTGTTCAGGCTCGATTTCATTTTTTCGAGGTTTGACTTTTAATTTCTTTTTAAGGTCAGGACATTTCCTTTTTTAGAAGGAAGGCAAACTCCACTATCGAACAGCAAAGGTGAAAAAGTTTCGCAAAACGTGATCGACTTCAAGTTTTGAAATTGGCGTTTAGTTTTCAGATTTCCCAACGAAATAATAAAGTTACCTTTTGATCCAGTTTTCACAAATTGGGTCAATTTCATCGAAATGGTGCCAATCATAAATTGTTCTACAAATTTTAAATAGCATTAACGTCATCTATATTTTTCTTTGAAATTCGAAGGTGGAGATTTTATCAAAAAAACATATTGGTATTTTTTTTCTGTTTAATTGCGTCTATTGACTCTTTCCAACTGTCTGTTGGCTATGTTTTCTCTTCAGTATGATCTGGGAATTGATTTTTCGAAGTAACAGGAAACATGTTTTCAAACATAATCAATATTTTCTGGCCTTTTCAATTCTTCCTCTTCAAACAGGAGCATGAATACAATGATTCCATAGACCTATCCTTAATTTGAAAAAGCTTGCCAATCATTTGGTTTAATTTGGTGTAATTCTAGTTGGTGAGTTATTTTGAAGAGAAAATCTGAAGGTGTTCATGAATTTGAATAGATGTTCTATCATGTGTCCGATTTAGAAATTTTAACCATTTGTGGAAAAAATGTCTCTAAAACTGTCCCGCCAAACTCAGGTTAAGGGTTGAATCGAAAGAACAGGTTTTTTGTGAATCTTCTCTGCACAATAGGTGTCGCCATAACTTTTATTAGATGGGAATTAGCTATAGCCTTAGAAAATGTTCAATTTTTGAAATTTAGCACTCTCTTGGAAGTTTTTTTGAATTTTCTCAAAAACTTCCTTGTTACACTTGCGAAAGCAAGTGTCTTGTAATCGGAATAAGCCTTTTCATTTTACCGTAAACAACTTTTCTTACAAATTGAAATTGTTTTTTGTAACCTTTACACCATCATGTGGCCTGGATGTAACGAGGTTGCTTATGCACCCTAAGTTTTGGGTTCGAGTCACAGGAGAACATTTTTTCAGTATGTATAAAAAGGATTTTTCCCGTTGAAAATTGAGTTTTTTGGCTTTCGTTTGTCTTTTCAAGTTTTGCTGGCTTAGGTCCCACATTTAGCTTTCTTCTTGTGCTGTAAGCAAGTATCATGGTAGTTGCAAGCGTTGTTCTTGTTAGTTTCAGAGGGGCTTGAAACTTTTTAAAAAAATTTCATGAAATCATTTTTTTTGGCTCAACTGGTGTCTGTTCAAAGATAGTCGGCTTTGTTTCCGCTTCGTCAAAAACAGTTATAATGAAAGTGAATGGGATTTGGTTGGAGACGCTTTGGTTTTTTTTTGAGAAGCTTTGGAAAATTTCAGTTCTCAACTATTACTCTGCTGATTCTCAAAGGAATATCAATGGTAAGAATGTCTACTCCCCTGTGTACCTGCTCACCAGTCTCTTTTTACAGTACCCCACTTTCTATAGCCGTTGAAAAAGTCTGCGGGGGGAATATTTGACCCATATTTTGGATTTTTTGTATTCCAAAAACTCACCTCCCATATCTAAGATTGTGGGTTCAATGGAAGTAAAGAGTGGTTCGAACCTTCCCTACATTAGAGGCAAGTACCAATTTTTGTTTTCACAAAAATTTATCGCCCTCAGAAATGTCAAATTTTTCATTTTTTGACCATTGTTTAAACTCTTCGATTTTTCTCAAGAACTACCATCCCAAATATGAGAATTTGGGTTCAATCGAATTAAAGAGTTATGTGAAACTCTCCTGCATAATCGAATACGTCCAAATTTTTAAAACAATGTTTTGGCTGTCGGAAAAGTCAATGTTTTGTTTTTTTCTACCAATTTTTCAAATTTTTGACTTTTCGTAACTTTCCCCTTCTACATCTGATTTTTTGGTCCAATCGAAATATATTTTGCGTGAATCACTTTGTTAGAATCGGTTGCTTTTCTAAATAAACGTCTTTACACGAAAACCTGTGATTCTGGAAAGGAACTTTTGATTTGTTGACCGTTTTTTTGAAAACGTTTTGGCTTACTTGATAACTATCCTGCTAAATTTGATATCAAGGGTTTAATCGAAACAACAGATTGTTGGAAGCCTGTCTTTATAAGTGGATATGTCCTTTTTTTGGATAATTTTTGACCCCTTTCTGGAAACTTTTTGATTTACCATAAAAATTACCTTTTACATCTGAGCTGAAGGGGTCAATCGAAGGAACCGGTTGCAAGAATTTTTCCTACAAAGTCGCGATGCCTTCATTTTTATCAGTATTACAAGTTCGAATATTTTCAAACAGGTACTCCAATTTAAGCTGGGAACCTAGTTATTTTTTTTCGAGACATACAAAACTTTAGTTTCACTTAGATTTTACAACGTTTTTCATTCTTTTTCGACTTATTTATTTTATGCTGGCTCGGCTTCGCCTCTGTATCAAATTTAAGATTTGAAAAAAAAACAGGCAGATATTTGGAGTTGTTGCTGCAAAAGCAGCTATGCGCTAGTTTTTTGTAGACATCTTTTTTTTCTACTACGATCAAGTCTATTTTTTTCAAACTGATGGGTTTTGTTTTCTCGAAAATTTTGTTTTCTCGAAAATTTTTGTGTCCAATATGAAATTAAGGTTTCAGTCCGAGAACTAACTTGTAAAGGTATCCCTTGCATAAATGAATTCTCTGAATTTTGTTAAACTCTTCGCTATAGACTTTTAAAATGTCAAATGTCAATTTTGACCTTTTAAAAGGTCAAACGAAAATGTATGCACCAGAAAACTTTTTTGCATGGCAGCTACACCCTAAATCTTAGCAAATGTCAATTTCTTGAAAATTAGTTCGTTTCTGAAATTTTTAGATTTTCTCGGAAACTACGGTGCAAAATCTGAGATAAAGTTTCGATGGAGTCAACACTTCGTAAGAGTATCTGCTTAAATGATTTTTTCCTTTTTGTGAAGTTATCTGTTATGGACTTGTCGTAGACTCATTTTTTGAGAAAAACTTTGGACCCATTTTTTTTGCAATTTCTCAGAAACAAACTACAAATTAAGAAATCAATCGAACACAGATGTTCTTAATTTCACTACAAAAGCGTTTCTCCATACATTTGGTAAGACTCAGCTATAGAATTGACAAATTAAAAAACTTCGCTCACCTTTCGCATCACTTCCAAAAATATTATCAAACAGGTACCTCCAGCTTTAGCAGGGCCCCTAGCTTTTAACTATTGTTAAGGGGCCCTGGCGTAATTATAGGTTTGACTCGCAATCTCGAGTTCTGGGTTTGATTCTGATAAATGACCAAACATGATCAATTTAGAGCTAATTTTTGTCTGTTTTCACGCCTGTTAGCGAAGAACTGTTAACACTAAACGAAGGCCGTTATCTTGTTTTATTAATTTTGTATATTTGCAAAAGTTCAAATTTGTTTTTTTTTAAATCTTTCATCTGTCTTAGTTTAATCTTTCTTTCTTTTTTTAACTTTATTAGGGCTAGTTTTTGGCTAGGTTTTATTGGTTATGGAAAATAGATTAGTATTAGGCTTGGTAAGGGGAATCAATGATGAGATGGAAAAAGAGTGAAAAGTGCTATTGGAGTTTACCGTAGATATGGCAGTGGGAAGAGAGCAAAAACAAGTCAATTAAAGTGAGAATGGATAAAAAATCACGAATTAACTTGGATGGATTTTTTTCTCAAACCTTCGAGTAAAGTGTAGTACGTAAAAATTTTATACTGAATTTTCGATTCAAGAATTTCTCGTTTCTCTATTTTCGTTTTAGTAAAGTTCAGTTTGGCTTGCTTTTGGTTTCTTTTAAGGTCAATGAATGCAGTGAGTACTCTTATATAGGTCTCGGTGATTTTTTTTGTTTAAGGAAAAAGTCTTAAAAATTCTTCACGCCCATTTTTGATTTTTCGCAGTTAGAATTTTGTTTTCTTTTTCAGTTCACTTCATTTCTTTTGCTAAAAGGAAGGCAAACTTCATTATCGAAAAGCAAAAGCTAGTTTTGAAAGTGAAAATTAATTGTCAGGTTTACTAGCGAAATAAAAGTTTTACTTGTTGATCCAGTTTTCTAAAATTGGGTTAATTTTGTCAAAAAAGAGTCGATCATTAATTTTGAACGGTCAGTTGGCAATGTTTTCAAATTTAGTTTTCACAGACAACTGTTCGTACAAGCATGCTATAATGGTAAACAATGTCAAAATTTCTGCCGACTGATGAAGATCAACATTCTGCTAGGATGACAGAAAGATATTTCTCACGCGCTAGGTATAAAGGGTGAAAATACATGTCATAAGTATTACTTAGATTCTAGAAAAAAAAGAAGCGTCCCTAGTTACTACGACTAATAATACGGAGAAAATTGTAAAATAATAAAACTTTCGAAAACGTTTAAATAATTGAATGTGAAAAATAGGTTTTCAGATTCTATACGCAGCAAAGATTTACATCAAGATGTTTTTAGTGACCTATGTTTCCAATGTCCGCATACTATCCCAAGTTACATTTTCGTCTTCTTTTCGGTATTAGTGTCAGTAAGAGGTCATTGTATCGTGTGAGTTATATCCTTGTGATTCGATTTAAAATGGAAAATGAATTAGGGAAGGCTAAGTAATTGCATGAGAATTTTCCTGAGGAAATAAAATTTAGGGGAAAGGTTTGTTCAAGGAATCGTTGTGAGGTTAAGATCTTGTCCTGTTAGGGCCTTAAGGTCATGTTATTATAATCTTAATAAAAACAAGTCATTAGCTTTGGGTTTGCGTTGATGGATTATCTGGCAATCTCAGTATAACTTAGAAGAGAGCATTGGTGAATTCCAATTAAAGGAGATAATTTTCCAATTGACGAGCATGAGTTTTTTTGAATTTGACTGTTGTTTTTGAAGTTTTACGCTGAATTCAAAATGGTTTATGTGGCCTAATTTTAAACGGGTTGTGGACGAAAATGAAAAGAAGAAGAGAAAAAAGGTTAGTGAATGAAAAGAAGATCATCGTAAAAACATCAAGATTTGGTAAAAATTGGTAATTAGTTGGCTACTCTTTGGTAGTTAGTCTGGTTTGCGTTTTTGTTTGATTTCTGCGAAACTGTATCGAAAAAAAATGAAGCTAACTTTTGCTGCTACGATTGTTTTCTTTTCCTGTTGGATTCGGTTTTACTTGATAGGTTATGCACTTGAAGAACTGACGTGTTTGAGTGTTTCAAGAACTGACATTCATTGCGGCTGCTACCTTAAGCAATCAATTTTTCGAGAAAAGGCAGATTAATTGAGAATTTGGCGCTGAAAACCTGGTTAATGCACGAGGCCTTGTTAGAAGCCGAGTTTATGGTCATTCTTTGCAACTTAACTTAGGGCCAATGTTACTTTTCAATGTACCAAATGAAATCACACCAACACAAATAGTTTGTTTTAGATCCGTATAAAAGCAAAAAAGGCTGAGATTGTCTTCACTCTATTCTATGGTAACATTCGGCCAATTGAAACCGCAACAACACTATTAGCTTTTCTCGGATCGATTGTCGTGCAGTAATTAGTTCTGTAAGCTTGACAATAGCTCATCATTGATTTTCGGGCCACAATCGGTTTTACTAGCGTTTTAGATAGCGTCAGGTAATCTCTACGTGCGTCGTAAGGACTCAATTTGTGTTGTGTATATTGCATAATTTTTGAAAATTGATGGGGCGATTCCTTCACAAGTGTAAAGTGAGTAAGATAATCCAAAGAAACTAAAGTTTGATACTATTGCCTAGCCAGTTAGTTAGATGACGGATACAAAAACCTGCTTTCGTGGTAGGAGAGAAATATTGTACAATCTTTTGTGAGATGAGCTTCGCTGCAGCACAATCAGCAAAAACGGACTTGTATTTGTCCCGCCCGCACAGTGATCTCAGGTCGTTCCTGGTCCAAATTTATTTGATTCCTGGTCCTCAGATCCAGAGAAATTTTTGCGACTAGCTTGATTATACTACATAGCCTTCTGATCCGCCTGGTCAGCGAAGTTCGGTTGTTAGTTTTCTTCTTAAACATCAATATAGTACTCTTCATTTTCTGCCTTGCCGGGATCGAGAAGATATCTATCGTTTGAATATGAGTCGAAGTTTTAATATGAGTCGAACCAGTATATGCCAGAGTTATGTCAAACTACGTTGTCATCCTTGCTATTGCTGTCATAAGTTTGAATAGATGAGATTGCACTATTCATCTTCTCGTCATTTTCGATGCTGTCAACTTGAATTCTTGTGCGAACAATAGAGCAGAGGTCTTGTAGGGCATTTCGTCCATGAATTGCTCTCGTACTCGCCTGTTTTGCTCATCGTTTGGCTTTTTGCTGCGTCGTCATCTTAAACAGCCAAGCTTGCTAGACGGTTCAACTCATTTAGCAATTTGTTCATCTGAAAAACTGTTTCGCAATTCGAACTTATATTCTCAGATTCGCTCAAGCCCTGCCTTCGATTCGGCAACTGTTTCGAAGTTAGTTTGAGATAATTTTGCGCAGCAGAAGATTTGAATAGAGTTGAGTGCTTTTCCATCTAGGTGAAATTAGAAATATTGGGCTTGGTGATTTTTGTGCTTCTGGTAGGCGGGCAACAGTGATACTGGCTGGTAAGAGTCTTGCGCTTTTCGACGAGTTTCCGTCAGTGTCTCCAGGAAACGCTGATATTGAAACATAATTGGTTAGTGCATAATTGGTGCTGCTATACAAGTGTTTTTTTTTATAAGAAGAATAGATAAAAGTTTTCAAGTTGCATTTAAATTGGCATAAGTTCGGTGAACATGGAGCAATTACCAGTCGTATAAAAATTTTTCGAGGAGGTAGTTTTTTTTTTCAATTGGGTTGTATTGGAAAATTTAATTTAGATACTGTTGAAAAGTTGTTATATCCAAGTAGCAGTTACTGAGTTCTTAATGCAGAGTGAAATTTGGGCCTTCTTTTTGGTTATCAAAAATGAACTTTCCTGACAGCGCCAAAATTAATTCTAAAATAACAAATCTCACACTGAGAATCTAGTTAGTTATATTTGACATACTGGTTTTAGAAAACCAAACTAAATATTTTTGTTCCGTTAACTATTTTAGTTCCATAAAAAAATGGAAAATGAGCTTTCCATCCGCTTCTGAAATGGTGCCGTAGATCGTTGTGTTATTTTTTATTTTTAGTGAGCACACGGTTAGTTAATGTCAGTTTAGCAACTGTTCAATATCAAGTTTTTTTTGCATCATTTCGGGTCAAACTTTGAGTGCCTCATCTCAAATGGTTAATGAGAATTGTATGAAAGTTAAACTGAAACGCCCTATTAAGTTGGAAGTTGAAATTTTGAAAATATTTTCTCGGTATCCTTGAGATCACTGACTTTTTTTCAACTGTATGTTGGCTAAAGTTTCTTTAAGGATTGCATGCAATGCAATGCTTTGTCTTTGCTTTACTCATTACATAACTACTCTTCTTCAGTGAATAGTTTCTGTTCACAACCTTATCCTCTTGTGACAAAACCAGTTTTGTTTAGGTTGAATAATCGAAAACTGAGTACGGACCTCAAAGATACACGTTCTATGTCTTCAAGTACTATGTGGCTAAACGAGCCGAAAGATGACGTATCTGGGCTAGATGCCAGTTTGGCCCCTTCATTGGGAGACGTCCGGAGAGACCGAGCACCTGCGTTGAACGTTGACCAGGATGAATTTGGAAGGTAGATGTAGCCTATCTATGTACAAAAATGAACACATCAGTTGCAAAATGAAAGTTTATGACATAAAAGTGTTAGTCATTTAAATTTTAAATTATATTAAATACACAAAAATCTATTTTAAATAACAAAAAAATCAACTTTGTCTCGTCAGTGTAAAAGAACGGAGAACGTAAAATTTGTTCGCTGTTTGACTTGGGATTTCTTGTTAGGATCACTTTCTTTTGCTAAATGAAGGAAAACTTCACTATCGAACAGCCAAAGTGCAAAGGTCACGAAAAAAGCGAACGATTTCTAATTTCTAAAATGGACGTTTGATTTCTGAATTTGATCCTATTACCTATGGATCCAGTTTTTTCTAAATGGTATGATTTCGCGAAAAAAACTGCCAATCATAAACATTATTTGAAATTCAAAAGAGCTTCAACATGATTTTTTTTCTTCTTAAGTTGAAAAGTTTTCAAGCATTTTCGTTTTTTTTTGTTCCTTTAAACTATGTTTTGTAATTTCAATGAATATTGGGTCGTGTTTTTTTGCATATTAGTTTAAATTGACTTCAACTTTTTCAGACTTTTTGAGGCACGGTAAACAAATTGAACGCACTTATTTAAGGTAGTGTGGTGTTTTCTGGAAAAAGATCTCAGCTTTGTTTAAGTTCAAATCTACGCTTTGTGGGTTTTCAAATTATATTTTGGGGGCTTCGTCAAATTCATTTACTTTATGGAGGGCAATTTACTCTATTCAAAAAACAAAATAGGATTTAGTTTCTGAGAAGGATGTTTCTACTGGAGTTACTTTTCAAGTGCTAATATTTGTAGTCATGGCACATTGGTTATGCTGAATTTTTTTCAGTTTTTGATGTGGAAATTCTTAAATTGTTTATGCTTGAATACGACTTTTGATTTTTTTTAAACTTGATTTTCGAGTTAAATTCACTTGTTAAAAGGACGGCGAGTTCCGCGCTCGATAAACATTTCAAATGGCGCAAAAAACCTGAATTACTCTAAATTTCAAAAATGGATTTTAGTTTTAATCAAAGTTTTTCATAATAAGTCTGTCAGTTCTGTTTTCAAATCCTCTGTTAAGTTTCATCTTTCTGTTTATTTTCCTCTACTCATCGCATTTTTTGCGACTTTTTCATGCATTCTGTCTTAAGCGTGAGAAAAAACGTATTAACAACGACAAACATGCAAAAATGCATGTTTTTTGAAGTGTCAATGAACGTATTGAAGACACTTATGAGCCTTCATGATTTTTTTGTTTCAGGAAAAAATTATAAAAAATCGTTCATGCTCAAGGTTGATTATTCGTGATGACTTAATTTTTTCTTAGTTCAGTTCTTTTTCGTTGTTATAAGGAAGGCAAACTTTGTCGACTCTAGTTTTGAAAGTAGATTTTAATTTTAAGATTTCCCAGCGGGATAAAAAAATTTAATCCAGTTTTTACACGCAAGCTTTGTGTATTGGTATGACTCTACTTTTTTCCAACCTAACTCGTAAATAAAACTGCTCATTTGGTGGCACTATTGCTATAATCACGATCTGCAGCATTCAAAATTTCATCGCAATTGTTCTCTGCTTTATTTGTGGCTAGTATTTGCTGATTGTTAAGCGTGCCGTCCATAGCTTGGAAAGGTCGTGAGACTCCCAATTTCGAGGTCGCAGGTTCGAATCCGACATGTACCAACGTTCTATTGATTTGAGGCTTATTTCTATTTTTCCTTTTGGTTTTTTTTCCACTTTATTGAGCTGCTTTTTTTGTTTTCTCGCTAGTGTTTGCGAAGCTCAACTTCGCCTCTCTGTCTCAAGTTGGGTTAATTTTCATCAACAAAATCAATCAGAAAAGATTCTGAAATTTGAAGAGCAATTATATATATTTTTGTAATTGGGCCAGTATTTAAAAGGTGTCAGTCTCAATTAAAACAGCTTCAATATGGTTTAATTTTTCTTCGGAAATTGGCAATTGCTCAGAAAAAAATGTTTTTTGATTTCCTCGTTCAGTGACACTTCTTCAACTTTCTGTTGGCTATATTTTTTTGTCTCCTTCGTCTAAATTCATAATTCATTGCAAATATGATCAGTTTTTGCTTCATTTGCGCTATTATGATTCAGTTTAAATCAATGATACGTTCTTGAGGATATATTGTTATCATATTTCATCCATGATAGACTTCTGAATTATTTTTTTCTCTTCAGGCATGAAGCTTTCTGCTGTTTGAAAGTGAATGGAAGTTAATTGCTGGATAACTGACAAACGTTTCACTGAGTTTACTCGTATCGGTTTTCCGTGGGTTCGAATAGATTTCTACGACGATTATGATAACCTGGCTTTTTTAAACTAAGTTTAATGAGTTTAGATCCAATTGAGCGTGTTTTTAAAAAAAACTCTCGTGTCATCAAATCCAGAGCGAAGGTCGGTTTCATGCAATGAAGCTGTTCCTTTAAATATTGATCTCTAAGATCAACAACTACTTCGAAGACTTGACTAGCTAAGTGTCCGATTTAGTTTGCTTGTTTTTCAACCGATAGTTTGGTAGTTCGAGGTCGACCATGATCTGTGCTCATTGCCTGAGCGTGAGTTAACAATACTCAGCCCAGAAAAATAACTTAAAACCCTTCTTAAACAACTGAACTGTTTGTTAATTGGTTTTTTTGTTTACAAATTTTGTTTATAAATTTTGTTTACCTTAATAAACTTTGTCACAGATCGACGAGTGCTTCTCTACGTATAGACGAAGGATACCAGATGGAAGCGGCCTTCCCAATGCTCACAGCCAAACAGGACAAGTCGGTCTCCTCAAACGTCGTCCTCCCGACCTACGTCATGGCTCTGGGCGAGAATCTCTGTCTGGCATCGGGAGGGTCAGGGGGTCCACATCACAGCACTCCTCTGGATTCGGGAGTCAGCATGCTCACCTTCCAGATACTGTAGATCTCCAAAAACTGAACCGGATTCAATATCTTCAAAGCATCTAAATTATCAAACTCATTCTGTCGCTTCTATATTTTGCTTTCTGCTGAAATGAAAAGGACTTAAATTGTGACTGGATACTTCCTGGTCAAAATTCTATATTTTAAAATCATATGTTTAATTTGGATCGTTATAATCGTAGCTTAACAAACTTTTTATTTGATCAATGATGGACAGTTACGGTTCTTGCAGTTATTTTATTAGCTTTTTAATTTATTATCATCAAAGTTCATATTTTTGATCAGTTTTGAACTATTTTTTATTTATTTTCACCATAATTTCTAGTTTTTTGTTAAGATATTATTTTAGTCAAAGAACATAGTGGACATTTTTATATGTCTTAATGAAGTTTTTTTGTTGATTATTTTCAGTAAAAATCATGAAATTTGTTCAGGCTCAAATGTACTTTTTCGTGGTTCGACTTTTGATTTCCTTTCAAGTTCAATTCATTCCATTGTTAAAAGGAAGGCGCACTCTACTTTCGAACAAAAAAGTGAAAAGGTCTCGATAAAACGTGATTGACTGCTACTTTCGAAAGAGGAATTCAAATTTCAGACTTACCAGTGAAACAAAAAAGTTTCTCCTAATCCAGTATTTTCACCTATTAATTACACAAGCATAGCTTGTGTTATAGTATCAGCTTTCTTTTTTTCCAACCTAAGTCGCAAATTTTGTTGCGATGCAATTGTTGCGACAAAATGTGTTCAGTTTGAAAGTTCATTGTGATCCAGCTATTAAGTACTGCCAATGCTAAGGATATTATTAACACAGACTAATATATTACAATTAGTGCTTTAGCTTCAAGGCATCTGTAGCGTAGAGGTAGGGAAGGAGACCAGCAGCCAAATAAGAGAGTTCGAACCTGGGCAGGATTGGATGTTTTTAATGAACTTTTGCGTTTACTAGTAAATATGCGTCCGCTCTATCAATTGAGACATGCTAGTTGGTAATTTTTTTTCTAATTGACCGATAATGCGTCTTAATTAGCTTGCGTCTCGTAGCATTTATGCAGACTAATAATTGGCGTGCGTCAATTATGAATTTTCTAGACTCAAAATTTTACTCATTCAGTTTTTCCCAGTAGCGTTATCGGTTATATAATTTAGCTTGTGTATACGAAGTGCAACTTTGCCTCTGTGTAAAAAATTTTCACTCAGATATGCTTTTTAAATTCTAAGAGCTTCAGGGCCTGATATTTTTTTCTTCGAAATTTGAAAGATAGTTTTTTCCAAAACTATTTTTTTTCTGCATTATTTGAATCTCTTATTACTGACTGGTGGCTAAGTTCGGGGCCTGTTTCTGTGCAGAGACTAATATCTGAGTTTTCTTAAATAGTCTGAAGTTGTTTTTGATTTTTAAAAAATAAATAAATAAAAAAATGCTGCTCAAATAATGGTAAAAGCAAAATGAGCATTGTTTAGAAGCGCAAAATATGGTTGTTTTTGAAACCAGATCAGTCAAATTTATATTTCTTATGATTTTTCTACCAAATGATGTTACTCTAAAAAAAATTTAAAAATTTTCCAATTTACAATGCACTGTTTAAGTAAGGCCTCTATGTATTCTTGCATTTTTTAAGTCGACTTGAAGTTCATTTCTTAAGAGTAAAGAAAATTGTGCTCTCCATTTTTCATAATTTACAGTGCAATAAAGAAATACTACCTGTTGATCCATTTTTTACACAAGCATAGCTGGTTTTGTAGTATGAACTTTCTTTTTTCCAAATTAAGTCGCAAATATTGTTGCGATGCAATTGTTGCGACAAAATGTGTTCATTTTCGAAGTGTTCGTCTTGATCCAGCTATCAAGTACAGTCAATGTTAAGGATTTTAACACCGACTAGTATGTTACAAAGAGCATTCTAGCTTCAAATATCTGTTTTGTAGAGGTAGGGAAGGAGACCAGCAGCAAAATAAGAGGGTTCGAACCTGATCAGGGTTTTTAATGAATTTTTTGTATACTAGTTTAAATGCGTCCGCTTTATAATTTGTGGCATGTTAGTTGGTAAATTTCTTTTCAAATTGACGGGTACTGCTAATGCGTCAAGTGGCTTGCGTCAGTTTGCGCTTATGTAGATTCATAATTGGCGTGCGTCACTTAAGAATTTTTGTAAACTCAAAGTTTTACTCATTCAGGTTTTCCCAGTAGCGTTATCGGGCATATTTTTGCTTGTGTATGCAACTTCGCCTGGATGAAAAAAAAATTGTGTTAGCTTCTTGAAAGTATCGTCAATTGTAAAAGCGTTCTAAAATATGATGTATTTGATCAAAAATATTTTCTCAATTTTTGTACGTTATTTCAATATCACTTTTCCAGCAATTGGTTGGCTATGTTTAGATGGCAAACGTTTTTTTTATTATGTTAGAGGCGTTCTGCAAAAATGACAAAGATTGTGTCTTTAGAAGTTTTAAAATCTTGGAACAAGCAAATTCAAATTTGTTTATTTTTCTGGGGCATCAATGAGCTGACTTCTCACTTTCAAGCGTTTGTTTTGTTTGAGCTGAATCTTTCATTTTTTTTCAAGAAGTTGCCTTGAATGTTCTTTCAATTTATTTTTAGATGAAACTTTTTTGTTCTAAGAGCTTCAGGGCCTGATATTTTTTTCTTCGAAATTTGAAAGATAGTTTTTTCCAAAACTATTTTTTTTCTGCATTATTTGAATCTCTTATTACTGACTGGTGGCTAAGTTCGGGGCCTGTTTCTGTGCAGAGACTAATATCTGAGTTTTCTTAAATAGTCTGAAGTTGTTTTTGATTTTTAAAAAATAAATAAATAAAAAAATGCTGCTCAAATAATGGTAAAAGCAAAATGAGCATTGTTTAGAAGCGCAAAATATGGTTGTTTTTGAAACCAGATCAGTCAAATTTATATTTCTTATGATTTTTCTACCAAATGATGTTACTCTAAAAAAAAATTTAAAAATTTTCCAATTTACAATGCACTGTTTAAGTAAGGCCTCTATGTATTCTTGCATTTTTTAAGTCGACTTGAAGTTCATTTCTTAAGAGTAAAGAAAATTGTGCTCTCCATTTTTCATAATTTACAGTGCAATAAAGAAATACTACCTGTTGATCCATTTTTTACACAAGCATAGCTGGTTTTGTAGTTTGAACTTTCTTTTTTCCAAATTAAGTCGCAAATATTGTTGCGATGCAATTGTTGCGACAAAATGTGTTCATTTTCGAAGTGTTCGTCTTGATCCAGCTATCAAGTACAGTCAATGTTAAGGATTTTAACACCGACTAGTATGTTACAAAGAGCATTCTAGCTTCAAATATCTGTTTTGTAGAGGTAGGGAAGGAGACCAGCAGCAAAATAAGAGGGTTCGAACCTGATCAGGGTTTTTAATGAATTTTTTGTATACTAGTTTAAATGCGTCCGCTTTATAATTTGTGGCATGTTAGTTGGTATATTTCTTTTCAAATTGACGGGTACTGCTAATGCGTCAAGTGGCTTGCGTCAGTTTGCGCTTATGTAGATTCATAATTGGCGTGCGTCACTTAAGAATTTTTGTAAACTCAAAGTTTTACTCATTCAGGTTTTCCCAGTAGCGTTATCGGGCATATTTTTGCTTGTGTATGCAACTTCGCCTGGATGAAAAAAAAAATTGTGTTAGCTTCTTGAAAGTATCGTCAATTGTAAAAGCGTTCTAAAATATGATGTATTTGATCAAAAATATTTTCTCAATTTTTGTACGTTATTTCATTATCACTTTTCCAGCAATTGGTTGGCTATGTTTAGATGGCAAACGTTTTTTTTATTATGTTAGAGGCGTTCTGCAAAAATGACAAAGATTGTGTCTTTAGAAGTTTTAAAATCTTGGAACAAGCAAATTCAAATTTGTTTATTTTTCTGGGGCATCAATGAGCTGACTTCTCACTTTCAAGCGTTTGTTTTGTTTGAGCTGAATCTTTCATTTTTTTTCAAGAAGTTGCCTTGAATGTTCTTTCAATTTATTTTTAGATGAAACTTTTTTGTATTCTCCATGAGGAAATCAGTTTCAGTGGCTTCAAATGCAAAGTGAATTCGAATTCAAAGTTTTAAGTTGTGTCCAACGCATAAAAAATTACCAATCCTCAATTTCCTCAATCTTTGTCAGTTTTATTGAAAATATTTTAAGTTCGTTTTTTAGCTGCAGGTAATTTGTGCTCATATAAATACGTAATTGTTCGCATCATGTTTTCCATTAGCCACAAATCGCATCATATCATGTTGCCCTATTCTATTTTTCTACGTCTCTGCTTTTTTGGATATTGTTGCCTCTCATCGAGAAGGAAATGCTTGATGATTCAATTAGGAAGAATTCAAACAATTTTTGTTAGAAAAAAGTCAGATGTCACACCCGAATTCCCCAGACGAATGTATTGAATAACTAAAACTGGAACGTGTTCATGTCAAAGCATTATGAAACAAGAAAATTGAGTTTGATTTCTAAGTTTTGAAAAAATATTCGTATAAATTGCTTGCTCGGTCTTTGTTTCTTTTTAAAACTTGGTTCGAAAAAAACTGAAGTGTAATAAAAAAATCCGCCTAGTTTTGTTCCATTGGTTCCAAAGTTGTGCAACATCTCTTTTTAATTTCGAATTGCAGCTAGTTTCAATTACTGAGAGTCATTCAACAAGTTATTACTTTGAGAAAAAAGGTTTGTTGCTTTAATCGAATCATCCGAGAATTTAACCGAGGATCATGGAAAAAACAATCACCGCTCAATTTGATCCAAAAAAAAAATAAAAAATCCGCCTCGAGAAAATCCTGGGTTCGCCCCTGGTTACCCCACTAATTTCCAATACCCCCATTCTACCATTTTATCTTTGAAAAGTTCAAGTTGATGAAAGTGGGAAAATCTGATATAACAAAATGAAAGCCATGGGTCGATTGGAGAACTATTTGGACGCAGCTTAACCAGAGCTCAAGTGATATATGCAAAACATTTACAAAATTGTCTCCAAAACTAGCCGATAAATCGTTAAATGAAGAAATTCTATAAGCACTAAAAAGCCTGCCAATTGACACTTCTTGTCATGTCTTCACAATCTCGAATCCCATGGAAAAATATTTGGTGACTATGTTGAACCCTCAAATTGTCAGCTTTTGATCTATAACGACAAACAACAAAAACCAATTCAATTTTTTAAAGTAAAAATTATCAAATGTTTGCGTTCTTGAGTCAATCATTGACAGTCAGAATGGGAGCGACAGGCGCTTGGCAAAGAAAACAAGAAAAAACTAACA